TTTCAATTAAACAAGTTGGTTCTGTTCTATGATTTTCAATAGCATTAAAGTTACAAGGATTACCAACAGGGTGCAGCACTATTATTTCTTGTACATTTATGACAACAGCTAATTTGCAACCAAAAGGTGAGTGAGCGTAGCGAACGAACTTCAACCTCGAGGCGAGTGAGCGTAGCGAACGAGCTAACCTGAAGGAAAGTGAGCGCAGCGAACGAGCTCCAACCTAAAGGTGAGTGAGCGTAGCGAACGAACTTAAAAAAGAACCGAAATTTCTTAAACCATGTCCTCACTCATAACTGCTATAAGCATTTGATACTTATATGCCAACCCCGTACGAAGGACGGGTACTCTGCTAGTTTATAATATTAGTAAGATTTAAACTTATACTGTTGACTCACAAGACGATAAATACAAGTAGAAGGTGGTAAGTGAATATCAATTACGATTGGACTGCAATCATCATCAGGCCCAATATAAGGAAATTATTTCATTCGCTCCAATCAAAATTGATCGACACTTACCATCATTTATATGTCTTGTGAGTCAACCAGTATAAGTTTAAATATATATTTCAAGTGTTATTAGACCTATTCTGATTTTCTTTCTGTAAATTTAATAACAAGTACAATGCTGATCAAGAAGTTATTTAATAAAATAAAGTCAAAATGAATTTTACTAATAATTCAAAGATTGTACAGTACATGTATGTTCCATAGAATCAATTAACATTGTAGCAGAAAAACTTAAAGAACAATCCATAGTGTTAGAATAGAACGAACTAACCAATAATCTCAAAAATTAATATAAAACCGTCTTAAGATGGCATTTTTGGTTAAGCTTGTAATGCTAAAAATATGAATAATTCGCAACGTGTGTGTAAAGTCAATCAGTGTAAGCTACATCTTGATCATTCAAAAATTGATTTTCCTTAAAGATCATTTTTGCTTATAAAAAATGACACAAATGTTTTAATAATACATTAAACACAAATATTAACCTTGGTAGGCGAGCTATTAACACCAACCGTGATACAAAAACATATCGAGCTACACAACATGTTCTTCATGGGAAAATTGTAAATATCATATAATCAGTATTGTTAGATAACAACTGACATCACGTCAACAATAACACATGACTTGTTATGCAATGAAGGATATGTCGTATTATTTCTTAGAAAAGAACTGTAAAAAATATTACAAGAAGATTGTTATCATTATACGAATAAAACTGTTTTTGTAATGATATGTTCAGGAGCAACAACAGATAAATATACACTACAGGTATTATAAACATAAACACATTCCATGGGATATACATCATGTCTTTAAAAAGTGTTTCTTCTTCAAGCTTATAAATATACAACAAACTAATTGAATTATTTTCATTCTTTGAGCAATTTATAAACTTGCCCAACATATTAAAAGATTCGATCTACATATTGTGAAAAAAGTTAAATAACATATTTCTATGTTTTAAAGGATTTTTGGTTGGCTTAGTAGAACAAACAGCATTTATCGTCTATATACTAAAAGGGTTTTTTTTTCTGCATCATCCCTTTTTCATCTGTCCTAACCCGATTTTTACTAATGAAGTATCAATATATAAAGCTTATGACTCAGCGGAGGAACGAATGGTAACGAATGAGGTTATTTTCTTTAGGGCTCCACCCCTTGCATTTTATTGTTTTCTAGAATTCACTTCCACAGATCAAGAACCAAGTTTCTTAGATTGTGGTTAAATACTTGAATTATAATGGCAAAAGGGGAGGATGAGGAAATGCTTCAATGACACTGAGAGTCACACCAATAGACGCTGATTACATTAATCCGAAGGTAATAAATTGTTGAGATAGTCGAACAAAACAAAACTAAAGCAGTAGTGGTAGGTAGGCTTCTAGAATGCATGCGCAACCCGTTCGCCTTATATGTGCGCAAAAGAAAGAGTAGGTAAATTCATTGCGGTTGAAAGAGAGACAATATAAGCGAGTTTAAGCAAGGGAAGAAATCAAAAGCAAATTAACCTGTTAAACTGCTGTTATATTTTGAAATTTATCTTTAGAAAATTGAGTTGGGGTTGCCTTTAGAAATCAAAGTGAGATTATATTAGATTACCTTTGTGATTGCAGCCAGTAGTTCTTGAGTAGGTAATATGGTCTGTGTCACTATCAATTTTTCCAGCTTATGTAGCATCTTTAGGGGTCTTCTTTCTTATGTTATCTTCTGATCCCTAACACTATAGTCTATACTGTATACAAAAATATTTACAGCAGAGTCCTGGCAACAGGTCTTTTTTCCTCCATTTAATTTTATTCTTTATTTCTTTGCCTGTCCGTTTGCGTTGTTGGCCTGACCGGGATACTAGTGACAGCGGGTGTGAATATTGTTTTATACAGTATAGACTACAGTGTTAGTGATAAGAAGATAACTTAAGAAGACCCCTGAAGATGCCACAAAAGATGGCAAAATGCATAGAGAGACACAAACATATTACCTGCTCAAGAACTACAGCTACAACAAAGGCAATCTAATATAAGGTTCTTCATACTGGGATGGAAAATAAAAAATATATAAAAGATATACCTATGAATAAAAAATATTTATATAATATATGTAAATATCAAATAAGAGATTTAACAATTTAACGATTATATTGTTGAATAAAAAATATTTATATGATATACATAGTTGGGAAAGTTAGTCAAAAATTCTAACTAGTTAGACGTTATAAGTTAGTCCCGTAAAAAGTAACTGATAGAAGTTATAAATTAGTTAGTTTAAAAAGTAACTGATAGAAGTTATTAGTTAGTTGAAAAACTAACTGATAGAAAATAAAGTTAGTTTTAGTAGAAATTAGTTGTTCGTTGGGCAGTTGTTTTAAAGTATTTTTTAATGTCACATCTTGGTTACTAATATATACTATAAAATGAGTAAAGATTGCGCAAGATATGATTTAAAAAATGGCTCCTACGATTTCCTCCAATTTTAATGCTATTGAAAATTGCTTGTATAATACATTTGCATTGTATGATGTCATACTAACCAAAGGGATAATTACGACTGTTCAAAAACATTAAGTGTTCTACTGCAAAACAATATACACTGACATTGAACTAAAAATCTAAAGGAAAGGCCAAGGAGATTTGTATTTTTCGACGATGCACCGCACGAATTGATGCGTTATTACACCATCCCGTAATTATAGTTGCAACGTTCCACGATCCCAGTGACTTAATGCAATAACGGTCGTCAGATAACAGATGTTATGTATCATGAGTTTTATATTGATTTGAAGCTTATTGTGGACATTTTATAGATTGATCGTCCAAATTAAAAAGTTTTGTAGACTAAATTGAGGATAAGTGGATGTCTAACAAAAACAAATTGACTTTACTATTTAATTAATCGTAGTAAGACTGAAAATATTTGTAGGCTTATAAGCTCTATTTTTTACCTCTTGAACAAATCAAACACCTCGAGCAGGATCGGTCCCCTGGTACTTGTGTTTTAATCAAACATTGTCACATTTTACATTACTACAACATAAACAAATGACATAAAACTTGTCAGATAATGAACATCAACTAAAGACAATGTTTTGACACTTATCAATCACCAAACAAACATTTCCCTTCCCACCCATCAGAGCTTGAAGTGTTGATAATGGCCGTCACTACCCTTCCACAGGCCCACTGCATTCCAAAGCAACTGGACTTTGACTTTCTATTTCCCCACCCCCCGCGTTGTTTGTCTACAAGGGCACTGACCTCTCACGGCCGCACGCAACAACCCTCACTGATCACGTGAAATAAATAACCAGTATTTGAGATGCTTCCGCATAATTGGGAAAGGTAGTTGAAAATTCTAACTAGTTAGAAGTTATTAGTTAGTCCCGTAAAAAGTAACTGATAGAAGTTATTAGTTAGTTAATTTCAAAACAAACGAATAAAATAGAAGTTAGCCAAAAAAACTAATGAATAGTTCTATTCGATAGAATTTCTATTCGTTATTCCCAAGTATGATGATATATATAAATATCAAATAAGAGATTATTGTTTCTGTAGCTGGTGGAAGGCCTGAACGCATTTTCAATTTCATGAAACTTAGTAGCAACAATAAGCAATATACGACTAATGATAATAAAAATATCTTAAAATTATAATTATTACAATCTTTTTTATGGCTTGAAACTGCCCCATTTTCCTCATTTATTTAAAATCTCACTAAATACTAACCTCTATTAAAAATGATCTTTAAATATAAAACAACGGTAAATCACAGTATTTTATTGCAGCAGTGAGTAAACTAGACGGAGAGATTTTGATAATGATACAACAAACAAATTGTCCTAAGATAAGGGCTTGTAGACTTTAAATCGACTTATGAAGTTGTTTGTGATGATTATAATACAGTAGACTCCATTTATCCAGATTCTTTGGGACCCAAATAACGGGTATTCCGGTTAAATATAAGTTTAACCTATTAATTTTAGATTAATAGGTTAAATATTAATATAAAACTTGTTAATGTATCTCGGAAAAGTTCCTACAGTACCGCCCACTTCCTGCCGATCCAGTCTGGTTAAAGCAATGTGCCTTTGCAAATTATCCGGTTAAAGAGGTGTGACTCTTGCTGAATACAGTCCGTCTAAACCGATGTCCGGTTTAAAGGTGTCGGCATGAAAGGGAGTATTTATTTGGTTGTCTTTGGGAGTTTATTTTTAGGTGAATCAACTATTTGAATCTTCAAATACATCCATTTTGTTTGAGCTGGGCTTGAATCCTGAAATATTTTTTCAACTATTCATACTTTCGAATTCCCGCACACCCCTAGTTTGATAACATTAATGAAACCATAATCAAAGTCCCTGAAGAAAAGTTCAACAGGTTATAAAGATGGCAACATAGCTAAGCCAATGAAGTGATTTCTTCGACTATTATATGAGATGGAAAACAATGTTCCTCATCTCACGGAGTAAAAATATAACTTTGGAAGACTCACCCTCAGTCGTTGGTCCGCAACAGTCCACACTCTGGAGGCAAAGTCGTTGGATGCACAGATGATGTGAGTACAGTTGGAGTCAAAGTCCACCGACATGACGCCTTGGTTGCAGCCAACCAACATGCCTTTGCTCTCGGCCATGCCTGCAACAACAATGGAGGATGGAGAAACGCAATTCGGTATGCAACCATGATTAGGACTGATGAAATCCGGATCACCTTCACCTGCCTGTGGAAATGTTTCACCTATATTTTATACAATGAAATTCATTAGGCTGGGTTACTGCCAAGTTTTAGGTGGTAGCTGCCATAAGGTTGTCAAAAAGTCTTTGTACCTAATCACTTTGTGTATGGACTAGATGCGATGAGAGAAGGTTCATGAATAATAAGGGCTATACTAATCAAACATTGCTATAAGCTGACCACCAGTGTCGTGTTTTTATTTCACCTTTATATTGTTGATTCTTAATTAAACTCACTCTGGTTTAGTATCCATAATCTTATATCTTTAGCAACTTTTTGGTACTTTGTTTGAAGTTCATTGTTGGTGATGGTGAGTTAATCTTGTTTAAAGGTTTATTGTGGAGATTTTCCATCACAATAGTAAAAAAACAATACACAAAAAAACTGCTGTGAGGTAGGCCTATATTGTTTTTTTTTTTTTACCATCGTGATGGGAAATGTTGGCAATATACCATTGAACAACATACTTTTTGGTAATTATGTCTTGGATTAAATAGTTACTGGAACTAGTGGGTGACTAATTAGGGCGAGGTGCGTTGAGTGGTAAAGTGACAACAGGACTGAATCAGACCTGGGCCAGCCTGAGCCCCCTGGGGCAGTCATGCGGCATTTTCCGAGGGTGCGACATTACGACTGAATGGAATCTTCCCGTTCTCCCTGCCTAATTCCCATCACCCTACCCTCGGACACATAGTGAACTTGTGGGTTCGGCTCATGGAATCGTTCACGGAAATATTTACTCCATGTAAATTTGACAGCACTTGTCTTTATTAAAATAGTTTAAACAGGTAAATTGCCTTTTATTGTAGTAAATATTGTTATGGTTTGAGTTTAGGTTAGGATAGGTTAGAATAGGACATTTCTGTCTTGATCTGAAAAATTATGCCACTCAGTTATGTTTGATCTCTTCGAAAACACAACGCATCAATTCGGTAAACGATTTCATGAGGTGATCAATTCTCTTACCTGTATAGATGTAGATAGGGAGAAGGGAGCTGGCCTTGGGAGAACGGGAATAAACTGATGCAGCGTGGGAGGTTTCCCTCAGTCCTATGGTCGCACCCCTGAAATCGTTCGCATGGCTGCCCTTGCAGACCCAGGCCCGGACCAGGTCAAATTCAGTCCTGTTGTTACACCACCGCGATGAGTTTAGGTTTACGGCCTAGGCCAGTCCCAGGTAAATAAAAGGCCAGGAGACAGTTTCAATTATACAGACTATAGTGAATGTGATAGATCAATCAATATGAAGCTACAAATAAGGATAGGCTATTGTAAGTTTAACGTATAGCTTTGTTAATAACAAAGATAAGATATTTCTGTAGTCAGGACCACTTATTTAATAATCCAAGGATAAACTTATGGTCACTGTTATCGTCAGATGTTTCCATTTTTTTCATAGTTTATTTTGTGTTTCTGTGAGCAGTCCAGTCGCTGCAGTCGCGCGGCTCTAACGAATTCTTAGTTAATACATACGGAGTTTGAGGTGTGTAACTTCATGGATGATTCAAATTAGATTAAACTGGTTCGTCACCACCCATCCGTTTACAACCCCAAGCATCCCCAATACTTGAAGATGATGTCTCTGAATGAGAATACTCTGAAACCCCTCTTTCGCCATATGATGAACAAAGGATTAGGTTATTCATTTTTTTACCATGCACATTAATATTTCTTTTTCCTCGTCTTCTTCAAGTAATATATTCGCTGCCAACTGTACTTATTACATGACGGTCAAGAGTGCAACTGCACTAGTCACTAGTCGCGGCGCGGGATAGGAATTAAGACGAGCGTCTCGAGCCGTACAACTCTAAAGGCGCGACTACATTCGTATCAGTCACCACATAGGAATTGGATCTTTAGAATGAATGATGAGATTAGAATGTAGAATATTATCAGTAAGATGAAGGATTAAAATGAAGCTATATATGGTGCCTTGTTCTGTTTTGTTAATGACCAATATCAGCTGTTCCTTTAGTCAAGATCCTTTATATTGATAGCACAAGTTTAAGTACAGCTAGGCTCAGTTGTAAGTGTAAAATAGGCAAGTTGTCTGGTAATACAATTTTTACTTTTTCTTACTATTCCCTACTAAAATTTCTAATCATCAGTTTTACACCTTTTCAATCATTTCAAAAGATTTGACTAGTGACTTGAATTACGAAGCATTACCAAATCCACCTACATCAAATGCTTATGACATTATATTGGGGAATAAGAGTTTCTTCATGTTTCATCCCTACATTATATTACAATGTTGTTTTTTTTTCATTTATCAGTCTACTGGACTTGTATTTGAACATATTTGTATGTTTGATACTATAACTCTGTCCCGTCTACATCACGTTCCTATAACACACAGAAAGCCCAGCGGAAGAGTCTTGGGCTGATACCCTAAATATTACTAGTTTAGACGTGTTAGACCTCCTGTCTGCACTATTCTATTATAGAAATATACTATTTTTAGAATTGCTATTATTCACATGTTTATCATTCAAATGGTTTCTTTTTTAAACAATAAATCGAGCCCCTAGATATTTAATTTATTTGCTTGACTCTTCAATTTCAAATTATTAAGAGTCTACAGTACTGTACTTGGCTTGGTCTTTTGATTGACCAGTATTGTTGTGGTATCATGATGGAATGGCCTCTGGGTCTGAATTAACTATCTAGTGGTTTATAGTTGACTGGGGTCCTGTAATCCAGCTACTAGGAGGTAACAAATTGTGGATATCTATAGGCATGCACTGTGGATGCGATACTCCCTGGTGTGGATTAACGTCTGCACTAGTGAGTACTACGACTACCCGCAGTGCTATCCTGATTAGATAAATCGTGTTAATTAGACCAATTTGTTAATAACAAGGCAAAAATGTGGTTTGGATTCCACTATAAACCGTAGGTCTCTTAGTTGCCATTAGCTGTATGGGCTATTAATTAACAGCTGTGTCTAAAGAACAAGTCAGCCTTAGTGACAAGACTACAAGAACACGCCACTCATCCTTCAATCATATTTGGGTTAAAATTCACCAAGTGGCGTCCCCATCTCAAATAATTGATATATTACACTGTTACTGCTGAAACGATCCTTTGTAGTTTGTTAGGACTACAGCTGTTTTATGCTTCGAATGGAGCACGTCATCAGATCAAAAGAATATAAAGCAGAATTCATTTAAATATTCCTCGTTATGAAGTTTGTCAAAATTTTAATAAATAAGTAACATAAAACATAACACAAAACAAAAGATTTAGCACTGGTCGACCAACAAAACTTGGTAACAAAACTTGTGCTATGGCGCCGGCTGAGGTTGAGTCGGGACTTGTTGTGGTAGATGGTTAGGTCTGATCAAAAGTCTAGTGGTTTGAGGTGTTGTTTATGGACAGGAGACAGTACTGGGTTTGTATCATGTCTTGGTCTGGTCTAGTGTGCTAATCATCAGCACTCCCTTTGTTGTGTTTGGAGTTGGGTGGTAGATGTCCAAACAGTGGATAGCTTGGGTGGAAGTTGACATGATAATAGATTTTTGCCTTAAATTGTGTCATCTTTCAGCTTTTTACTCATCATAATTCTCTGTATGTCCACAAAAATCCTTTGATGGAACTTCAACTGTTATTTCTTTAAATTTAGAAAGTTATATTGTACGCAACCATATGAATGAACAAAACACATAAGCAAAAAAAACATTGTTTTTACTCAGGATCTTATTTATAAATAGTATTCAGTTTATAAAATAATCTAGGTTACATACCTTCAGTCCAATCTATTCCTGTTTTTGGTCAAATAACTATATAAGAGTATACATTTAGAGATTACAATCCCATCATCAGGTCTTCAAGAAACAAGAAACATTATCTTCGCAGACTCTTCACTTGGGGGTACACAACACATACATAAAAAAAACATTAATTTGAAATACATAAAAAATACTTTTTACCACACTATGATGTTTTTAGCTGTTTTTCATACGTTAATTGGTGGCTGAAAGTTACGTTTTGCTGGCCATGCCAGCTGTCATCGTCATTTGGGGACCGAGCAGGTTTTTACATCCCTAGGGCCGCAAAATCAGCTGCCCGCTAGCTTTAAATACACAATCAGAATCCATAGCATTGCAATAGAATTGTTTTATAGTCACGGCTGCCTAGCAACTATTTATTATTATTTTTTCTGATTCTTTAAATTATTTCTTCACATAACCTTAACGTTGTAGTTGTGTTGACTATCAGTGTGCATTATTATTGTGGTGAATAGTGGTAATAGAGTATAGTGTGGTGAATAATAGCGTTCATACCACAGACCGAAATGGTTTTGCAGCTCTCGATCGTTTTAAGTTCTCGACTTCGTCTCGAACTTAATAACTATCTCGAGCCGGCAAAACATCATTTTTGGCCCTAGGTACGAAATATACTATAAAATTTAAGGTAATAAAGCCAGCTTGCAATAGACCCCTAGCCTAAAAAAAACTTTATTATTTTATATATATATATATATATAGTCCAAGTCAATGTTTAAATTGTTTATGAACCTTCAATTGTGTAACCGAAGGCGGACAGAGCAATGCAAACTTCCATCGGTTAGTTTGGCCTAGCCAATCAAGTTGGTAGGATGGGGTTGGCTCCCATTTTGAGGTTAGACATTGTACTAGTTTATAGCTTGCTTCATTTGTGGTTTTGCGATTTATTGTCTGTGTATTTTGCCTTTTCTTTTCCCTTTTATTTGGTAATACCCTTAGCCTGTAAGCAATTTTGTTTAGTGCTGCTACCTGATGATTTCTTGTAGCTATATTACGGATCTCCTATTGTATGAAACTGAATTTCAACATTCCCTCACACTCATCCACGCACTGCATTGGCTGTTTCTGCTCCCAGCCATGAGTGAACTGCAGCAATTATAATTAACTGACTCCATAATAGGGATTAGGGAATGGCCTACTTTTAATTTATCCGGACTCCAGAGTGCATATATGTTTTTGCTATGAATTGATTAAGCAAAATATTTTTTTTTTGTATTTGCTTTACTGTTGTTTCTTTTGCTAAGTGCTAATAAACACATAGGGATCTATACAATGTAGTATAATGTTTTTAATAAACATGAGTAAAGAGAATGACTATTCATGAACATGAATGGTGCCTAGACAACAAGCTGCACCACAGAGTAGTAAAAACAACAAAAACACTTCTAAGCTTACAATGATCGTCTAGTAGCATTGACTATTGGATACAGAAGTTGTATTAATAGTCAAAGCTAGTGGTTATTTTTTTCTTCGCCAGTGGCATGATACGAGAGGTCAACGTGAGATAAATGTCTAATTGAATAATTGATTATGGTATATCACCTAAAGACATATGAAGTGCTGCTGGCCAGTGTTTACATTTATTGCAAAAACCCAAGATACAAATTGCAACATAGCTTTTGGAATGTTGCCTCTGCAAATTTAACTTGAGTTAAGGAGTGAATGACACTTTTATGAAATCAAGTTGTGCTTGCCTAAAGAAAGACTATGATTTTCCCTTGGTTCAATACAAGACATTGCAAGTGTGTGGTTACAGCTCTCTGTGGCTCAAAAATTTCTTATGAGAAGAGTCAATCACTACATTTTCTTGCAGTGCTATATACCATTCAATCCCATTCAGTTCTTTGTGACAGCGACGCACACGTCGTTGCATATTTTAAGCTGGCTATGGATGAAGCATGAGTGTAGAATGGAGTGAGATGATCTGTGTAGCTTTGATACTAAGACCAGTACTGTTTATTAAAGCCCGATGGTCAAGGATAGATGGGTTGAGGTTTAAATTTTCAACTAGATATTGGTACTAATGTTTTAGGATCGAACCAACGACCTTATCATTACTAGACAAGCTGTATAAACTTAAACATGAAATTTTATTTTAATCTTTTTTTAGGCTTTTAACTCTACAGAAGTAATGTCATTTGTAACTGAAATTACATAACTTCTTTCTGGTCTAAGCAAAAATCAAAAGTCAAAGGTGTTTCAAAATGAACAGTCCACAGTATTTGTTCCTTATCTATCATTGACTCGACCCATGCACTAATACAACAATATAATATTAGATGACGGTTAATGGTTTTATTAAACTCGTCCACATGCAGGCATTACATCTATTCTGCTTGTTCATGCATGTACAGGTTTTTACTATGTATTTGTTTTAGAATTAGTCTGTAATAAATATATTAGTCTAACAATTCCATTGAGCTTAGTTGCTTTGCGTATCGTCTTTAGTTGTAAGCATGGACGTACATGTTTATAAAAAGCTGACTATAGGACAAATTTAAGACAATTTTTTAAGGTGGATTAAAAGAAAAAAGTTTATTATGTCATTAAATATATCTTTATTGTTCTTTTTATTGACTCCTATACATGTCCAAAACTAAAGTAATTGTTTTATGAAAAATATTTTGATCTGTAAGTCTTAAACACAGGATAAATTGGTGCAGGGTAATAAATTACAAGCTTTTAACATCACTGATTAGTCATACATCACAAAAATTGTATAAACCGGGAATGCAATGCTTGAAAATACTGGGATCTCACTGAATGCTAAAATTCAATAATAAGATAAGAAAAAATTTAAATTTATAAAGGCACTTATTGGGCATCAACTTCTTAAATTTGAACAAACAAAAGATTTGTTTAAAATTGTGCAGAAAATTAGGCCTACACACACTAAAACTCCATGCACCAAGGTCTAGTAAAAATTCATTATACTGAAACACTCAGTTAAAATGTATTTATTAATAACAAAATAATTATATAACGGATTATCTGTAAAACTAGTTCAAAGGGTTGCAAACAAAATGTTATTTTTAGCACAAAAAAAACAGAGAACAACAATTCACTAAAAGTTATTTCTTTAAATAATTCCCTTAAGTTTTAAAATAACAAGTATTTTAAATTGTGACGGTAAATAAATAAAATGAATAGCTTTGAAGAATTTTACACTGTTTCCAAATCATATGGAAAAATTTCACAACAATAAAACCTAGGCTATATTATTTCCATTAAACCAAATGCTAAATCACAGTTTTTCCACACATCCCCAATTGGTAAAAACCTCTAACAAAATGTTAAAAATCCACACAAACTGCTTCACCTACACCTACACCTTAGCAGCAATACCACAACAGTTAATACAAACATTCATATCAAGATGGCACTGGGTGGTAGAACATGATCATGATGGCGGTGAAGTGAGTGGATGTTGCCATGCTAAGCTAGGTGGGTGGGAGAAGGTGGAATGTTACCTTTGGACACGTCCCACAGTTTGACTCGTCTGTCTGCGCCTCCGGTCGCCACTACATGGTCCACGGGACTCCATCTCACAGCACTCACTTCACTCTCGTGAGCGTCCTACGGACATAATGGCGCTTAACACACACCGTCACAGAAAACCTACAGACTAAGCGAATTTACACGCACGATTGGATTTTCACTAAGTTAAATCCTTTAAAATGGCACGTGTATTACCTGAAGGAATTAAGTTAAACGAAAAAATAAATAAATCATTCTCAAGTCAAATAGGTCTTACCACAAGACCTACAGTAATAGCTAAATCACTCTATGGAAAATTTGCAAAAAGATATTTACAAGCAGAACAAGAGAAAAAAATCAGTAAATCCATTTTAGCCGCCCCCTGTTGAACTGAAACCCGTATTTGCCAGACCATCTTGAAAAAATCAAATAAACTGGAAAAATACTAAAATAGGTAGGCAAAGGAAATTGTCTGTCATTTGCTGAACAATCAAGTGAACCATGCAACTCAGCAAGTAACTTACTTTTAAAAGTATGGAATAGAAATCTTTTGAACGAACTAGTAATAGTCTCAGAAGACAATTGTAATTCTCCTTTTATAAGTCAATCTACTAAAAAACCGTACCGTAATTAGACATGTATTCTGATGGTACAGAAATACCGGTACCATACCCTTATTTTAATGTTGGTTGTCGGTACCGATACTTGTTCTATGAACTGATTGTACCAAGCTTCGCATTTAGGTACCAACACATAGCTAATTATGGTCCCCATGTTCCCTTTAAAGTCACCACTGCTTTGATTACTGTATATGGCATCAAAATAGCACAAGTAAAAAATGTATATTGAAAGGGTTGCAAAATCAATTTTTCCTTGAGTATTGTAGAGGGTATCAATAGTCTCAGCACTACCAGGAGGCAGATACTATTTATGGACTACAGTTGTAAAAGATGTTGTGTGGATGCAAAAGTCAGTCAAAATAGTTAGCCTACCTCCTATTTCCACTTGAACTGATATGAATATGTTAAATAATGTTTTTTTACAATCCATTGTGAAAATATCCTTCTACACTTTTACCAAAATCGTGTTTAAAATATTTTAGATTCAATTTCTTGGTGCAATAGATTAAGAGGGGAAATTTACAGCAATTGAGAGCAAACATGTTTCTGCAACAAACAAGATTTATCATTTCAGTCACTCTAAGTCAGAAAACATATTATGACAATGTCTTTCAATATTGATTTGTTAACTCAGGGCAAATATAGATAAAACCGCTACCATATTTACCAGTGGATAATCAACCCTTGGTTTAATCGTGTACCAGATAATAGTGTTGACATTGTTGGTCAAATTTTAAATTTAACAGATTCTCTTGAAGAGATGTTAGAAAGCACACTGCATATTGTACACTAAAATGTGGTTGTCGTAAGAAACTATTTTTTTTTTTACAATATTTACGTCTACTGAGTAGAATGTGTGACAAGTCTTACAAATTTGATTGAAGGCTTGGTCGGCACCGAGGCACAGAGCAGTGCGGGGCCGATGTTGTGAGCGTACAAGTCAGGCGCAAGTCCTCGCATGTCCTTGGCTGCGTCCTCCAGCTCCTTCTGCATCTTGGCGTTCTTTTTTCTGTGTCAAAACATGGAAAAATAAGTTGTGGGTTACAGAAACAATGAATCATCACAAATATCGATAGGTTGTTTTATATCCCACTTTCACATTCTGGAACCTTTACACATTATTTGCTTGGCCTAGAGGTTCGCGGAATCACCACTTACATAAAATCCATTGGTGATTGGCGGGAATTGAAACTACGAACAAAGTCCTGTGCTCTCTATTAGATCAGCACACTTCTCAAAGAGAGATAATAGGTCACCCAATTCATAATTTGATATTACAATATGAAATACTGGATAAGGTATGCTGGAAAACCAGGAAATATTATTTTACTTATTTAATGTTCAGCAAGGCCTACCAATGTACCGTAACAGAAAGTTGATTAGTCAAGTATGAAAACTTTTACCTACCCCATGATTCTTATGTTTTTTTTTTAACCTTGGTTGGAATTCAAGATTTTGTTTATTGATATTACTATAGAATTTGTTTACTAATTTATTAAATATTACCTCACAAAGTTTTCATTTTCTTCATTCATTTTCTCAGCATCTTTGGACTTGTACTGCTTTAACCGATCCACAATCTCCCGGTTCTCATCCTGGAAAATACAATCATTAGTAACAAATTACAATTGTACAGCAAAATAAACTATTACTGTTATGACTAAATTTAAAATTCTAATCACCATCGGTGAATCTGAAATCAAAAATAGACATTTGAGTAACAATTAATTATAGACCTCTTTTATTGACATCTCAGTTATACACTAATATTATCTTCTTTACATAATAGCTGAACAATTAATTGTGTTTATTATTAAAAAGTTTATTTTGTTGAGCATACATGACATAAGGTTTTATCATTCTAACAAAGTATTGGAATTATTTACTAGAAGTTAGATGTTTTATTTTATTTGAAACATCCCAAAAAATAATTGTCTGATTAAAATTAAAACTTTAAAAATCTCTACAGATAATTGTCAGAAAACAACAGACCTATGAGTGACTCTACTAATTACTTTTAACTGCCTCGTCTAATTTCCTTGAAAGAAGCCAATAGTTCAAGACAGGTAATTTATTATTCATCATATTGACTGCCGTCTCTTCTCCTTTTGTAAAACTGTTCTTGTTAAAAATGTACACAACTACTTTGATAAATAAATGAATAAATTTATTGAGGTTTGTATTTAAGTGTAAAACAAAAGTTATTGAAATAACATTTTCTTTTTTTTTGGATTTAACAGTTATAATTTGTTTTTATAATTTAAAAATAGTCATATTTTAACAGTTACCAAATAGTTATTTGGATTAAAATGTTTAAGCTTAATATGTGAAATATTAGGTACCAAATAATAGGGGTTCTCTAGTCCATTGCTTGTTTCCTCTCTCTCATTCATAACGAGTTCAAACATTGTGTAACCACCCAAAAATGGTTCTATGTACACTCGTTTACAGAAAACGTCAATTAGTTTAGGTTGTGAATCATTAGTTTTTATAAATTCAATATTACCACAGCATTTCTTTTTACAAAAAGATTATTATATCATTTAATAACTGCTGTTTTAATAAAATTCTAGCTATTTTTAATAGGCATTAATACATATTATTAATAATAATAGTCACTGTGTTAATTTCTTACCTTATAGAATACCCAAAGCAAAACTCATAACTTTTTTTATTAGAAATATTTATTTTACAACACAAACTAAATTAACCAATTTACAACATGGTCCACTATAACAAAACTTGTTTCACAAAACCATGAATGAAGATGAGACACCTCATAAATTACAGCAACTAGACCGGTAAACAAAGCGTTTTATTAATGTACTCGTAAATTTAGAACTGAACAAACGGCAGAGAAACTGGGTAAAAACCGAAGCTGGAGTTAGTCTGGAAGTGAGCAAAATGTAACTTGTTATAAATATGACTCAAAAGTTTGGATTGTTGCCAGGAAGTCCACTGCTGGAGGATTTCCAAACCATCTTCATTAAGCCGCTCTATGACAAACACGGACCAAAATATAGGCTAAATATTTCAAGCGAATATTCCACTTATAACCCAAAACTTCTTTGCCAACATCTAACTGCTATAATCAAATCCCTTATAGCCTAATGTCGCTTTGAAAATTTGCTCTTGGAAATTCTTGGCTACTAAATGTTCTGAAATGGTGACCATCGTTTGAACTTTGTGTTGTACCAGTGTGTTTACAACTCAAACTTCTATTAAGAATTTACCAGGCACATGGATAAAACATTCCCAAAATAATTGTGTTAGGAATTTATACTCAACATTATACCAATATTTTATTGTGTTTTTACCATGGTACTTTTTATTGTAGAGATGTGTTAAATAATAGTTTATAATGTACTACAGTAGACTCCCTCTTATCCGGACACCTTTTAACCGGACATCGGTTTAACCAGACTACACTCGGCGGAAATGACATCTCTTTAACCGGATAATTTTTATCAGCACATCGGTTTATACGGACTAGATCAGCAGGAAATGGGCGGTACTGAAACGACTGTTCTCGTGGGAAAGATTTGAGACCAGTGATCACGTCAGTTTTTGGGGATGTCAGTTTAACCGGCAAACTCGTTATCTGGACTGGCCAAAGAGTCCGGATCAGAGGAAAAGTCCAAATTTATGTTATCAACAACTAGTTTCTGAACATGGATACTTAATTATGAGCTGATTTGTCCTTAAACAATGTCGGTCCTGTGTAAAAAAACACCTTGTGGGGTTGGATCAATAAATTCTGAGGTAAATATACTGTATACTAAATACTTAGGTTTATTGTGTGTACAATCGTAGACAAAAATAATTAAATATAGACCGTCAGCCGTGCTGTGGTTACCATGGGTTCTGGCGCACACTCCCAGGGGTGTGCGCCAGAACCAATGGTAACCGCAGCACACCTGATGGTCTATATTTCATTCTTTTTGTCTACGGTACAATATACTTCAGTTGGTTATTCTGATAAATTTTGCAAAAAAGTGATTCACAGAAAAACATAAGGGTTGTATTCTATCACATTAAAAATATTGAATAAATGTTAGTTGTTACATTAGTTTTGTTTGTTTATTTTTTACCCAATTAACCCATAGACTCAGTCTATTAACCCATGGACTCAGTCTATTAACCCATAGACTCCAGGATATTTTTCTTATTTCCCGATTAGTTTTTTTTTTTTTTTATAAGTTATGTCGTTTTAGAAATTTAACCTATTGCATATGGAGTACGACAGAATATGAACGAATTTAACAAAAATAATACAAAAAAAGACAAATCTTTGTCCTCTTCCACTATACCAAGGTAAATAGAAGCAAAACAGGTGTTGTCTGCAATAATTATTAAACTCACTAATGCCGACAACTTCCGCCCAAGCCGAACACCGTTGTATCGATATCGATAGGCCTATTAACAAATTGAAAAGTATCAGCTGACATCTACGATAAATAAATATTTTTCAGTATCAACATGAACAATTTAAAAAATTAATTTAAACAATTTAAAAAAACAATTTAAAATGAATTTTAAAGGGTACTAATGATTTTATAATGTTTTCGATTATTCATATTAAAAAATTATATATTTAATTGAAATTAAACTGTTCTAAGATAACCTAACCTAACCAACCAAAATTGCAGTAACATTTCAAAATTCCTATTGGTATTCCCCACATTTTGTTTCTGTTATAAAACGGAATTTTGAAATGGTATACCGTAGCAAGTTTGGTTAGTTATTTTAGGTTAGTTTAGAACGGTTTCATGTCTTATATTATTTTTGCTTGAAATAAACAGTCTTCAATTCGTAAATTAAATGCGTTTGAAGATATTAAACAGAATGAATATAGATCGTAAAAGAAAACAAAAATATCGATGGATCGAAAAATTCATCGATAATAATTCATGTTCCCTTTAACAGGAAAGAACCATATTGCACAAGTATAAGATTTAAACCCTAGAAAGACTGCAGCACTACACTGGTTAGTGCAACACCTTACCCACCTAAGCTATCACGGCACTATCAGCCGAATGGGGAGGGGTGAAACTAAAAACACATGTTGGTTAAGTGTTTTTTAGCTTACCAGTTGTTAACTAACGTCCAGGATCCGCGGCTGTGATTAGTGTCTCAGAAACGACAACTCTGTGAAATCAGATGATAAGCGAGCGGCAATGCTAATTTCCGTTATGTTTACAGGTATGGCAATGTGATAATTTCCATGCAGTGGTAGGAAAAATCCTTTTATTGATTCTTACAATAGAATTCCAATACATTTCGATGAAGTTATTAGTTTTGACCCTGCCACACAGTTGATTGCAAATACGTATACCAAAGAGATAGGCCTAGGTACCTAGTCATTAAGCGGTACAACTGAGTTCATCGTCAACCTGTTGTGAGGTGCCGGTAAAGCAGCTAGTTTCATTTAGGCCTAAATATTTTAATCAAATACAAGGTAACCACTTGCTACCAACTGATATTTCTTCACCAAAACCACAAACACTTACTTGAACAGTCCTCAATTTGTTTTCAAGATGTGTATACATCAGATGAAGAGCTTGGTGTTCATCTCTGAGCACTTGGTTCAAAGCTTCCAGGTCTTTGTTGCTCTTCTGGTACATTTCTATTTCTGCTCTCAAACTTGTCAAAACTCTGCCATTTTCATTGAGACTGAAATAGAAATAGAAAAATGAATACACTTTAAACATTTAAAAATTCTCACTTTTGTTAATAGTTTATAAATTTTTGTGGTGTCAACTTCGCCACAGCTGTCTAGCCTATTCCTTACTTTTAGCGAATTTCCCATATAGGGAATAAGCTATTACCGTAGTACTCATGGTAAGACCTGGACGCGGGACCGATTTTTTTTTTCGTTTTGAGGTCCCTAGAGGCCAAAAACACCATCCGTTCAAATTCATATATATATATATATTTATATATATATATATTTATATTTATATATATATATATATGTGTCCGTCAGCACGATAACTCGAGCAAAAATGATCCGATTTTGATGAAATTTGGTACAAACGTGTAAACCTACGTCTATTCGAACGAGTTCGCGATCCAGCATGATCGGACCATGGGAACGGGTGTTTACGGGGGGTTTTATGGGGTAAAAATAGGTTTTTCCCAATTTTGACCCAAAAAACATAAAATTTAGCAATTAATTTCCAAACCATTTTGTAGAGCTTCAAAAAACAAATAATTTAGTATATTGAAGCGTTATTATGCGCCTAATGGTTACGGAGAAAATTCCATAAGATTGTAAATTTAAAATTCCAATGTTATTCTTATGGAGAAAGAGTAAACTGTTGTAGTTTGCTTGTTTACGAACATATTTTGATCAAATTTGGAAAATGTTTTTATTTCTTACTAACTATTAACATTTTACAAAAAAAAAACAGTTTTACCCTCCCTGATGCAGCAAACCTAAGTACTTGTTAAACTAATTCTATTTAAATCGGGAATAAATGTTATATTTTTAAGTAGACATTTCAGTGTAAATCCAATCAGTCAAATGGAAATTCGCTTAGTCTGCAGGTTTGCTGCGGCGGGGGTATATTTATTTTTTTTATTTTAATACTTATTTTGTAAGAGCTGTTAGTTTATTGCTAAAATAAAATGTTTTATTTTGTTTCTGTTATGATGTAGCAGAGTTCATTTTTATTTCGCCAGTAAAACGTTTGCATTAGGCTATAATTTATGTTCATATAATATGTAGGGGTGTATTATTTTGTGTAGATATAACATCACTATACGGTATGTTCTTCACTGTAAAATATTTGTCAAAAACAAAAATTTCAATCATAACTACAAAACACTCAACAAAAATAACTTTGTAATTAGAAATAATAAAAATTAGAGCCCTAAAAAAATGACTGTCGATGCAGGACATGAATTTTTTAAACTAGGTGTGCGGTTTTAGGTCCGCCAATTGAGCAGAGCGTACCGGTACAAAATAGTAAACTAATAATATTTATTTTTTTTCTAAATATAATTTGAATTAGAAACATGTAACATAACGACTTAAGAAAACTTGTAATCATCTTCATCATACGAGTACCGATCACTTACTCTTATTATTTATGCTAGTTAGTAATTCTCTCTATAAAAAATGGCTTAACTAGCCCTGAGAGTTTGTGAGCGGTTTGTGCTCGTAATATACGCTACACAAGATTTTTCCTACCACCATAATATTAACTTATAATAAACCACAGATTAACTTTTTAGTTAAAAATAACTTATATAAAATTGCATTTAGGTTATGTTAGCTTTTTTAAGGTTAAGTTATTTGTTTACCGGTTGTTAAGTAATGTACTGGATCCGTGGATATAGTTGGTGTAGAAATGACAACTGTGAATCTGCTGATTTAGCCAGCGAGAATGATCCATTCCCGCTCTAGAGCGGCAAAGAGCTATTCTGTATACTGTTTACAGGTATGGCAATGTGATATTATAATACGATCTGAGCAAGATCGTATTATTGACTAGTAATTTTTAAATGTTATTGATGTTTATAAGAATTTTATCCTAATTATCTGTTCTTTTTTTTAACTATGTTACCTATAAAAAACCTTGGCTGGTTCCATGTTGATTCTGTCTAATTTATTGTTATCACTCAAATGTTTAAACTTGTTATCATTTTCTTTGTCCTGAATGTTCATTAAATTAGGCTAGGCCTAATAAATTTGTTTTGAAGTTCATAACTTATATTGCATTAATAGGCCTACAAACATTGACTTTGTCTATATTACATCATTTAAATGTTTAAATATTGATTGATAATTTCCATGCAGTGGTAGAAAAAACATTCTCCGTCAAATAGTCCCACTGATTAAGATTGCTCAGTAGCTTACATGTTTCGTTGGGAAGACAACATTTTCAAATCTTGGATCTCGTCAAGAACGTAATTAAAACCACCAAGACACGAACATAAAAACCTTAAAAATTGTACATATACACAAACATTTAGATAACACTATCATTATAATACTGATTTCGTCCGGCGTGGCCCGGGGTTTGTTTTCAGAGTAGTTTAAAATGATACATGCATTATCAAATTGAAATTTGTTTGTTGAAAAAACTTGCTCACTGTTTGTCGAAATAACCCTAGTAAGTTTGGCTCTAAACAATAAGCCTATGTTCAGCAGTTGTAGAGTGATACAATTACAAAGTTTGCATAAGGTCTGATCTCAAGCTTTGCGTTTTTAAATTCCGTTTATTAAAGAAACAAAAACAGTCCAGTTTCATTTATTGGATCTAGAATCAATAAACTCTATAAATGAGGAATGTGGCAATATGTGTTAGAATAAACTACTTAGTGTTTTCATCCGTGGATATCAATGGTGTAGAATAAATCATGAATTCAAGACAATGATAGGTTAAGGTGGTATTTTCTAGCCTTTGTCGCTTACCTAAGTTCGAGTCTAGAAATATGTTTTTCTTTCTCCTGCAGTTTGTTGTTGAGATCAATGATCAACTGAGCGTTCTCGCTCCTCCGCTTGTGCAGCTCCGTCAGCTCCTCTTGCTGACTAAGAATCTTGTGTTCCAAGGCAGATATCTTGGTGAAGTCCCCTCCACTGCCGTGGGCCCCGGGAGATTGACTACCTTGTCTCAGTTTCTCTATTTGGATGTTGAGATGTAGATTTTCATTCCGCAACGATAACGTTGTGTCAAATAGTTGATTGTCTGGAAAGAAAATTTGATAGCATGTACATAAAGATGAATTAATTGAGCGGAGCGAGCGAAGCTCTTATACGTCGACTTTTATGCATTTCGTAATACGCAAACTCCTCCTAGACGGCTGAATCAATCGTTTTCAAATTTTGGATGGTGATAAAGACCATATCGGTGAGTGCCAACATCTATAAGGCGTTAAAAATAACTCTCAGGAATCCGCCCCACTGGGTCTCAAAGTTTCAATGTAATCCTTATGGAAGCAGTATTTGACACATAAACAAAGACAAAGACACATAAACAAAGATCAGCTGTTGACTTTTGAATGCAGTAGATAAAGAAATAGCTGACAGCATTATTCCACAGATATTAGAACAGAAACGGTAGGAATCATAAATATAATCAAATGACGACACTAGCTTGAGGTCCGTGACGTAGGAAGTGCTAAAGGATTTACTAAAGGTGAGCAGTCTGGAGTGTGGAAACTGTTTATGACGATTAGATTTAGGTATCTGCATTCCTAAAATTCTATGGGAAGGGAGGACAATGGGTCCGCGACGTAGGAAGTGGTGAAGTAAGTACTAAAGGTGAGCAGTCTGGAATGTGGAAACTGTTTATGACGATTAGATTGAGGTATCTACATTCCAAAGATTATTAGGGAAGGGAGGAAAACAGGTCCGCGACGTAGGAAGTGATGAAGGAAGTAGTCAAGGCAAGCTGTCCAGAGTGTGGGAACTGCTTATGACCATTATATTAAGGTATTTGCAATCCTATGATGCCATGGGAAGGGAGGGAAACAGGTCCGTGACGTTGGAAGTGATGAAGGAAGTAGTATAGGCGAGCCGTCTGGAGTGTGGGAACTGCTTACGACCATTATATTAAGGTATTTGCAATCCTATGATGCTATGGGAAGGGAGGGAAACAGGTCCGTGAGGTAGGAAGTGATGAAGGAAGTAGTAAAGGCGAGCAGTACGGAGTGTGGGAACTGTTTATGACGATTAGATTAAGGTATCTGCAATCATAAAATGCTATTGGAAGAGAGGAAAACGGGTCCGCAACATAGGAAGTGATGAAGGAAGTAGTCAAGGCAAGCTGTCCGGAGTGTGGGAACTGTTTATGACGATTAGATTAAGGTATCTGCAATCATATAATGCTATGGGAAAAGAGGAAAACGGGTCCGCAACGTAGGAAGTGATGAAGGAAGTAGTCAAGGCGAGCTGTCCGGAGTGTGGGAACTGTTTATGACGATTAGATTAAGGTATCTGCAATCATAAAATGCTATGGGAAGGGAGGTAAACAGGTCCGTGACGTAGAAAGTGGTGAAGGAATTAGTAAATGCGAGCAGTCCGGAGTGTGAGAACTGTTTATGACCATTAGATTAAGATATTTGCAATCCTATGATGCTATGGGAAGGGAGGGAAACAGGTCCGCGACGTAGGAAGCGGTGAAGGAAGTTGTAGAGGCGAGCAGTCCGGAGTGTGGGAACTGTTTATGACGATTAGATTAAGGTATCTGCAATCATAAAATGCTATGGGAAGGGTGGAACACGGGTCCGTGACGTAGGGAGTTATGGAGGAAGTAGTAAAGGCGAGCAGTCCGGAGTGTGGGAACTGTTTATAACGATTAGATTAAGGTATTTGCAATCCTATGATGCTATGGGAAGGGAGGGAAACAGGTCCACGACGTATGAAGTGGTGAAGGAAGTGGTAAAGGCAAGCAGTCTGGAGTGTGGAAACTGTTTATGATGATTAGACTAAGGTATCTGCTTTCCTAAAATTCTATGGGAAGGGAGGAAAATGGGTCCGTGACGTAGGAAGTGGTGAAGGAAGTAGTAAAGGCGAGCGTTCCGGAGTGTGGGAACAGTTTATGACGATTAGATTAAGGTATCTGCATTCCTAAAATTCCATGGGAAGGGAGGAAAACAGGTCCGCGACGTAGGAAGTGGTGAAGGAAGTAGTAAAGGCAAGCAGTCTGGAGTGTGGAAACTGTTTATGATGATTAGATTAAGGTATCTGCATTCCTAAAATTCTATGGGAAGGGAGGAAAACAGGTCCGCGACGTATGAAGTGGTGACGGAAGTAGTAAAGGTGAGCAGTCTGGAGTGTGGATACTGTTTATGTCGATTAGATTAAGGTATCCGCAATCATAAAATGCTATGGGAAGGGAGGGAAATGGGTCCGTGACGTAGGAAGTGGTGAAAGAAGTAGTAAAGGCGAGCGTTCCGGAGTGTGGGAACTGTTTATGACGATTATATTAAGGTATCTGCAATCCTAAAATGCTATGGGAAGGGAGAGATAAGGTCCGAGACGTATGAAGTGGTGAAGTCAGTAGTCAATGTGAGCTGTCCTGAGTGTGGGGTCTGTTTATGACGATTAGATTAAGGTATCTACAATCTTAAAATTCTATGGGAAGAGAGGGAATCAGGTCATCGACGTAAGAAGAGGTGAAGGAAGTAGTAAGGTGAGCAGTGTGGAGTGTGGGAACTGGAAACCGTTTGTAGCAGTTAGATTAATGTATCTGCAATGCTGAAATGCTATGAGAAGGGATGGAAGCATCCCCACGACATTGAAAATGGTAAAAGAAGTAGTAAAGGCTAGCAGTGCGGAGTGTGGGGATTGTTTGTGGCAATTAGATTAACGTATCTAAAATACTAACTTGCTATGGAAAGTGATGAAAACAGGTCCACAATGTAGGAAATGGCTTAGAAAGTAGTAAAGTATGAGCATAGTGTGAAAACCTTCTGTGGCAGTTAGATTTATGTATCTTTGATCCAAAAATGCCATGAGAAGGGAAGGAAACAAGTCTATGACGTAGGAAATGGTGAAGGAAGTAGTAAGGCTTGCAATGCAGAGTGTGGGAACTGTCTTTGGCAATTACATTAATGTATCTGCAATCCTAAAATGCTATGGGAAGAGAGGGAAATAGGTCCACGACGTAGGGGGTGGTGAAGGAAGTAGTAAAGGTGAGCGTGTTGAGTGTGGGAATGGATGTATCTGCAATGCTAAAACGCTATGGGAAGAAACTGTAGACTGTAGGTTTAAATAATTACGAAGCACGAATCGATACATATCTCGATACATGCAATTGCTTACAATAGAAATTTACAACTGAGCTGACAACAGGTTATTTTTACTCCATAGAGGATAAAAACCATTTTTACTTCCTAAAGAGTAAAAGTGCTACTTTAGACCCGCAACGCATGCATTAAAAACGACTGGTATTACTGCAGTATGACCAAAACAATATAATATAAACCCTTGATGACTCCGTTCAATTTTGTGGATGCCTCTGCAAACGCCACCTAGTATCAAGCTTATTGTGCTGTGATCATTTTTTGTGTGCTTTCAATAAACTTAATTGGAACTTTTTTTATAGGTAAGTTAGTTGTCTATTCATTCCTCCATCCTTAATACCTACATTCCTAAGCCAGGTAAATGTAGGCCTACACTATTTTTTGTGTCTATGTTAAGATGTGTTTTGTATTTGATTTGCAATAGGCAGCTATGACAAATCGTAGAAGGAGATATAGGCTAGGCTACTTCAAAATGTAGCAGCCACCACAAATTGTATAGGTGCCAATTACTTTATCTTTATATTATTTCTAAGTTTAACTCGCAAGATGCAAATTAAGAATAATACATGTCAGGTGACTTAAAAACTTAGGAATTAATGTGACTCTTGATGGACAAAACATGTTGTAACTTAAAGCCCATGTGATTATAAACAACCTTTTATAGGCCTATATGTTACACATGAATAATGAATATAAGTTTACCATATATAGTAGGTTCTTCTAAGTGGTAACATTGGCAGCTTTTTAGGCAGTAACTTACTTTGATATTAATTTATGAAAATTGTTTTAGGTTTGAGGGTAGCATGACAATAAGTTAAGTTTGAAATTTAGAGGAACATTTCATATTTATAGGCCTAAGTTATAATGCGTAGAGAGCTACCCAATGTTTCCATATGGCTAATCTGCAGGTAGGGCCTAACTTATTTTCATCAATAGGCATTGATGATTAAGTTAATAGGCAAATGTTTATTAGTTATTTTTTGTGGAATCCCCACCATCGTTATTTCGTTACGTTTTTGAAAAAGAACAATCCAAACCCTCGTGTTGTTACTATAGCCATTTAATAAGAAAGTATTAAAAGAAAGTAGCCTATCTATTAGCCTTTTGTTAGGTGGTATTGTTAATTGGTTTCCCAATGACAAATACAATCTGATTCCAGAAACAATCTCGCTTAGAATCTAACCAGTGACCTTTAGATTTAAAGGCGAGCACTAAAACCACTTGCCCACCAAGTCACAATTTTTACAGGCTGCACTTTACTTGACGTCCTACACTCATTCGAATGAAAATATTGATCGATATATCGATTGCTTCATTCGATATATCGTTTGGTTAATTAGGTAGGGTTAACCTAACCTAAGTAACTAACCAAACGATATATCGAATGAAACAATCGAATGAAAATATCGAATCGAAAAAACAATTGAATGAGTGTAGGACGTCAAGTAAAGTGCAGCCTTTTTACAATAAAGCTTAAGATATTTAATAGGCTATTAAACTAAAATCATAGGTCTGAATAATGTGTTGAAATTTCAAGATGTCAAGGATGGGAAGAAGTTTTGATTGAATAAAACACTATTACAGTAGGCTAGTCACCATCAATAGGCCTATGTATAGGAAGGATGTTGGGTACAGTTTCTTAACAGGGCTATGCTAATATTGATTGAAACTATAGAATTGAAAATATTGGTTAATAATCGATATTTTTAAATATATCTATTATAAAATTGAACTATCATAACCTAACCTAGAACCAACCAAACTTGCTGATAGTGAAAAAATCGCATGAAGGTTTACTAATCGAATCGATAGTTTCAATCAATATTAGCATAGCCCAGTTAAGAAACTGTACCCAGGATGTTCAACTTGGGCTACTCTGAGGTCTCTTGATGACTCTACCAATAACTTAAACATTGGCCTTCATTTGTTTATAAACTGTACCAGATGCTCATAACCGATGAAGTATGGTCTTTTATTTACTGTACTGAATTTAAACCCCTTTATAAATGGGCGTTGTATTTTCAGGAATTAACTTATTGTAGTTATAACCTAGCTTTCAAATGAAAGTTATTTGACAACCCAATTTTTAAGAGAAAGCGAAAGTTTTTGTTTGTAGGTTATGTTTAGTGAAAGATGCCTCTGATAGTAAAACTGTAAACTTACGATAAGTTATAAGATCTTCAAAACATTTGCACTGCTGTCGGTTTCGGGTTTGTAATTGAGAAGATATATTTTCTCTCCAATCACCTTCAGAACCAACATCATTACTAAATGCCATTTTTACTTTACTCAAATGTTAAAAATTCCAAATAAACACAGCCGACCATCACTAGAGATGAATTAAATAATCTAGATTTCCTGACTCGTCTGTACCTGAACCACAACAAAACTCCTACTGCAAATTCTGTCTGCTGTAGGTTAAAACAGATGTGTCTAGAAACAGTCTACTAGAGATATCTCGATTGATAGTCGATAGACTCGAATGATCACGGCCACCGAATGATACATAGTGTACATACATACAGGTCCTACATGATATCATGATACATGTCCGTAGTCCTTTGTCGTAAGAAATTGAACAAATGAGGATAATTTTATTATTACAACCTGCCTAAAACTAGTTCTGTCACCGTTAGAGTCAGAATCGTTTATTGCCATATTAATAAAAAAAATGTACAGGGCAAAATTCACTAAAAAACTAAAACCATGTTTTATCTATGCTAAAACAAATAAAATCAGACCCAATCTTCTATCAATCTATCTATATATTAATAGATAAGCATGTTTCTTTAAAACCATTTTTTCTCAGCTCGTGTACATCGCAGGGAAAATCAACGCATACTGTAAGAAATGATATTTTCCTGTAGATGTGCAGAATCCCTTTATAAATAAAAAAAGGCTCATCAAACTTGAAAAATTAATTAAAAAATTAATATGTGCTACATGAGTTGCCAAGCTAGTGGTGAAATAACAACAAAATATAAACAGATAATCAAAATACAAATTAAATAAATTCCAATCAAATATTTATTTACTGAGTGGAGTGAAAGTAGAGAAGTCTGTACATTCACATTGCATAATATTTTGGTCGAGTTTACGACCGCTGAACAGTGGACGACCTCTAGTATATTTTTAAATGGCAAGCATGTTTCTTTAAAACATTTTTTCTCAGCTCGTGTGCATTGCAGGGAAAATCTACGCATTACAATTAGAAAGATATTTTCCTGTAGGTGTGCAGAATACCTTTATAAATTTAAATAGGCTCAAAAATAAGAACAAAAAAGAGTTTTAAGTTTGAAAAAAATAATATGGGTCTTATAGGTTGCCAAGCTGGGGACGAAATAACAACGAAATATAAACAGAAAATCAAAACATATGAAATAAATTCCAATCACATGTTTTTTTTTAGAGCGTGGGGTGAAAATAGCCAAGTCTGTAGGCCTATACATATTTTTGGCCGATTTTTCGACCACTGGACAACCTCTAGTTAAAATAAAGATAAGTTAGATATCTTATCAACTATTCCCTCAAACCATGCTTCCGCCCCCTCCCCCTACCATCGTAGCAGCGCGCTCACCGGCCACAATAAGACTACCCCAATATACGTGTCCTGCCAGCTGTTTTTGTAGAAAAGTAATGGAAAATTGCATGCTGCATCAACAAATCTAATAACATTTTAAGCCCTCTTTTACATACTTTTTGTCTCCCCGTTTTCATGCAAAACGCGATTCTGTTTTGCATACATTAAATAAATGCAATGTATATATGTATCAAGCCAGAACAGTCATAATCACGTTTTGCGGCGCATAAACGGCACACAAAAACGTCCGTATACAAGGGTTCTTTATAACGCTTTTCAATGTACACTTTTAGTCAGATATACAATCACAAATATTTTATTCACAAAACTGTTATATTTTAAAACTAAATTAATCAAAACAAAAAAAGTTATTTGTATAAAAAAGTATGTGGATCTGATCTGACTAAAAGTGTTCAATGAAAAGGTTATAACCATTATACATACCGTATTACCTTATTACCGATTCTTCATCTTTTACCCCATGGGGGATTTATGGCGTCATTAAAAATATAAAATCACTTATTTACACATATATACAATTAAAACTAAGGCTGTGGACAGGCATACTTCAGCCTAGGCCTAATAGAGGGTCTTCAAAGTACTCCTTCAGCGAGTAGTAGGCTTTGTCTTTGAGATACGCTGTAACCATCTTAAGGAGTTTCCTTTTTTCAAGGTGCAGGATGGAGTTTGGCAACTTATTGTATATATTTATTGCTCCATTACTGAAGGCTTTCTGAGTCCTTGACAGCCTAACTCTAGGGAAATCTAGTCGGGTACGATGCCTAGTAAGATGTTGATGTGTTGCTGCTCTGGTAGGAAACTCCTCGATATTGTCTAACACGTATTTAATGCAGGCGAGGATATATAATAATACTAGTAGGCCTAATAATATAAGAATGAAATTTCAGTTCAGACATGTATCGATTTTAGAATTTAAAAAAAAACCGTTAGAAATTTAAAAAATAAAAAATCTTCTGGATGGGATGAAATTCCTATTGAATTAATTAAAAATGTCATAAACCATATTGCAGAGCCTCTGTGTCTAATAATCAATCAATGTTTTGATGAAGGAATTTTTCCCTATCAATTAAAAAATGCTGAGCTGAAACCACTTTTCAAAAAAGGCTCAGTAATGGACCCTGATAACTATCGTCCTATTTCAATAGGTACTCCCATCTTTGTCTAAAATCTTTGAAAAAATTGCTTACAACCAAATCTATTCATATTTCGAAAATAATGATTTATTTACCAATAAACAATATGGTTTTAGATCTGGGAAAAACACTATATCTGCTGTCTCAGATTTCATAAATCAGGTTTCTGATGGCTTGGATGGGTCTCAGAGCACAGCTGCGGTGTTCTGTGATCTATCCAAGGCATTTGATTGTGTAAATTACAATATATTAATGAGTAAACTTAAATATTATGAATTTTCTGATATGGCTTTGTCTTGGATGCATTCATATTTGACTAACAGACATCAAAGAACAATAATCGTAAAAAATGGTAAAAAATGTATTTCACAGTGGCTTAACACTAAATGTGGGGTTCCGCAAGGGTCAATACTAGGCCCCTTGCTATTTTTAATATTTATAAATGACTTACCTCGAAATGTATCGTCTAACCTTATCTTATATGCTGATGACACTACAGCAATAGTTAAATCAAATAATTTGCAAAATCTTAAACAAGAAATCAGTCTTTCTATTCTTAATTTATCTAATTGGTTTACAGCCAACGGGCTAAAACTTAATAATTCTAAAACACAGGTGATGTTATTTCAAACAATTCAGAATAGGCAAAACTCCACTGTTGAATTATCTTATGATAATAATATTATATCCTTTACTGAAAATGCAAAATTTTTGGGTTTAGATATCGATAAGAATTTAACATGGAAAACACACATAAAAATGGTAGTTGGTAAATTAAATACGGCTTGCTTTCAAATGTATGTTTTGAGAAATGTAATAGATTTAAAAACTAAACTCACAGTGTACTATGCAATGTTCTTTTCTGTCTTGCAATACGGGATTGAATTATGGGGAGCAACTTCTTATTCTAAAGCAGTTTTCAAAATTCAGAAGAAATTTATAAGGATTTTATCATTTATGCCTAAAAGAACCTCATGCAGAGCTTTATTTGCTAAATATGAGATATTAACTTTGCCTTCACTTTATATATTTAAAATGATGGTGAATTTTAAAATTAATTATCAAATGTACAATGATAAACAAATCAGTCATCCATATCTTACACGCTCAAAAAATTTTCAATATCCAAGACATCGCCTTTGTTTATATGAAAGATCTCCTTATTATATGGGATTAAGGCTTTACAACAGTCTACCCACTAATTTTAAAGAAATTAACAGTATTTCAAAATTTAAAAATGATTTCAAACGATACCTTTTACAGAAAAATTATTATAATATTTCTGATTATTTAAATGATAAGTAAATATATTTTAGTTTAAGCTATGTGGATTTTAGTTTTGTTATGTAACTTAGTGTTTAAGATCTCTGACAATATCACCTGTTTCACCAGCTAACGCTGGATCTGTGAAATGTTTTGTGATAATAAAGTAATATTTCATTTCATTTCATTTCAGATATCTCTAGGCAGATGATACCACCTTGCTCTCTTGTCACAGTGACCTTTTGCATTTCAAGTCACTATGGTCAGAAACAGTCAACACTGCTGCTGAGTGTTTCTCAGCCACAAGTTTTCTTTTGAATTAATAGGAAAGAAACCCAATAATTTATGTTTTGCCTAAGACCTCTTCAAGATAATATCCTATTATAGGCTCCCTGAAGTTGAACTATGCTGAAGGTATCATTTCTGGGAGTCCACATTGACAATCAGCTGACTATGTTTGATCATATACCACATGGTTCTCTGTACTTGGTTCAGTAGAATGATATTCCCTTTTCGTAGACTTAATGATTTATTTCATATTAGTTATATAAGATCTGTATGTTTTGCTTTATTTTACTCTGCTTTGAACTATGGTAGTCTACTTTTTTTGCTTTAAATATTTGGAAGAAGACTTCCTGGAAGCATTGTCAAAACTAAAATCCTTCACAAAACATTTGTAAGTAATCTCAGCCCCTTTGAAACAAACCAGCACAAAGGGTAATAAGTGGCAAAACATAAATAAGAACATAATTTATTTACAAAGACAAAACATCAGTGCTCTTCAAAAATCAATGAAATTATAGTATACTACATAACTAAAAACGTTACAAATCATAACATAATATTAAGTACCGTACATATAGAGACCAAAACACTATTGATAATAATGTATTTCAAATAAATAAAGGTTTCAACACCAAACACAACAGAAAAAAATACAATAAATTATGTCATACATTGTCTTTCATAGTTTCATTAGCGTTTTAAGAATATCACAATTTGAAAAGTTAAGATAACCAAATACTGATGATCTGATTCCAAGGAACATTGTTGGAAGCTCGGTTATCAAGTAAACAAACAACATTCATGCTTTATTCAGTGGTGAATGAGACAACAATGTGAAGAATTATGATCTGCAATCTCTCGATACAAAAGTAGACTACATGACAAATTTAATGTTCAAGACAGAAAACATTCAGATTAATTCCTATTAACACATACATTGTGCAAAAATTCCCAATGTCCAAGATAAAAGAAACGTCCCTTTCATGCTGTTGTTCATATAACTTACAATTTTTTTAACGTAAAGAATTGAAGCCATTACTTTCTGTGTTATCACTGATTGGATTGTAATATTTTGGAAATATTCATGGATATTACTTTAATGATTTAACTGTTATACAAATTTCAAACATGTTCAATCTATTCAAATTTCTTGCATTTAAAATTTATTTTCCATTAGATGTTTAATTTAACTTAATCTGCTGGGGTATTGTCTAAGGCCCTAAGGCTTACTAATGCATCTGTGAACCATATTATTTAAACAGATAACAATCAAATCCATAAACTTAGATTTGTAAAGGGTTTGATGTCCTAGCTACCATTTGATGTATATATCGTGGCAATTACACTGAATAGTTATTTAAAACAACGCTACATAATGAGACTGAAGTATTTTTTCAGATCCAAGCAAAACTGAAGGAAGTACAAATGGAAATTCACTTAGTCTGCAGATTCGCTGCAGCAAGGGTATTATTGTAAATAACAGGTTTCCCTTTGTTTTTGATTAAAGAGATGTTGTACAAGTGCAACATTTAATAGCTTGAATTTTGTAAAAATAATTTACCCATTACTTCATGGGTCGCCGGAAGACTGCCCCCCGGACAACTACCCCCCCCTCGTTGCCATACTGTTCTAAACTAACCTAACCTAACCAACCAAACTTGCTGCAACATTTCAAGATTCTGTTTGAGATTCCCCACATGCCTTTTCTGTTGTCAAACGGAATTACTCGAATTAAAAAAATAACAATTAAATAGCATCACATTTTGCTAGAGGGGGGGGGGGGGTAGTATTCGAGTCGTGGACACGGCTCCAATATTGGTTAGTTGGCAGATTTCGTGACGTCACGTTTCACCTGGGGGGGGTAGTATTCTGCATCCCCTACTTCATCACTTAGCCACAAACCCCACAAGATTAAATTTCTTGCTCACAAGGATTATTATGCTCTAAATTTTAAAAGCAAGCTTTATTCTGAAACGTAAACATATTTTGTGATTTAAATCAACAAAAAAAAAGACTTGTTCAACAACATGCTTTGATAATTTAAACTACTACTTAAATTGTCTATTTCAAGCAATGAGGGAATGATAAATATATGCTAATTCAAATTCACTAACTAAAAGCGTAGTGAACATTATTCAAACCGATACAAATATATTTCACAATGTATAGTTACCGTTTTACTTGATTTTCTAAAGTGATATTTAAAAAATATGCCTATTCTTTTTTAACATTATGTCGGTTAACAGATATTTTAAAAATCTAAATCTTTAGTGAGGCAAATGTTTTGATATATTATGAGCTTATCTAAGTTTGTACAAAAGGAAGATCAACTTTCACTAAGTAGGCCTACTACTAAAATTACAAAAAAACCCTTAAACTAATTAACCTATAAAGAGATTTTTTCTAAGGTAAAATATATGTAACAGTCCTTCACAATGTTTGATTTACACATGTCATAAGGTTTATAGAAGAGTAGAACTAGGAAGTGAGTTTATAGAGGTTTTGTGTGCTTGTGTAACTTAATTAACGATAAACATAAACACATTGTGTTTAACATCTTCATTTAATTAGATTGCAGTTCAAGTTTCATTACCAAACTGCAATGTTCCAAAAGGCTAGGTTTTTGTTACCCATTCAACATTTAAATGACCATTTACCCTTGTGTGTAGCATAGCACTTAGCAAATAGTATAGAGGCTTAGTAAAACGACTAGAAAAATATCATCGATTGTATTTTACATAGTTTGTTAATTTATATACCTGTACTTATAATTCAATTTCTGACAACTTTTGATCATGAAAATTAGTTCGTGTAGTAAAAAAAAACAATATAGCAATTCTGTGACATAGAGACAAAAAATATAATGAGTATTTGTCTATGATAAAATATGATTGAATCGATAACTATAACCAGTTTTGGAGTAACATATAGACTACTGTTTTCAGTACAGAAAAACTTACTATATTTGACAAAAAACAACGCTTATAAGCAGCCTAAAGCCTTTCTGAACGATTCTAAAGGTATTTATAATGATCATAGCATATGTGATAAATATTTGGTACACTTAAAATGTAATACATTTTAGAGTTTATACAAAAAAATCTTGCGATCTTTGTGCTCCAACTTAGTTGAACAATGATAGTGTTTTGATCAGGTAAGGTAAGTATTAATCTAGTAGCAATGTATAATTTATTACAAAAAACATAAAAATAATTACTTACACAATTTATTTTCTATTTGGATTTTGCTCAACTTGTGAACGTAAACTGTCAAATCACCACATAACCTATAAGGTATAAAAAATTGATAAAAATAGGAAACAGCCTATAATAATGAAAGACACTACCGGAATATGATAATTAAAAAAATTAAAGAATTGATCGAGATGAAAGTCTAACACTCAATTTCTTCATATTCACTACCACATCACACCAATCAATACAAATAAATATACATTTAGCCTACCGAAACCCTTCAACGTGCAGATATTGGTCCATCTATCAATTAGTTAAAAATAAAAGTTAACATTTTTATACATTATGTACAAATTTGCCAACAATACGGTTCTAGATAACAGAAATATCACAATTTCATCACGACTTGACTTGAACAGAAAATTGAAATATATCAAGAACACAACTGCATAAGTACTCATTTCAAGTTTTCACTTGGAGATATAACGTGAAGCGTCGCTCTCAATACAATTTGTAACAACACTAATAATTTAACTATTTTGTTCAAAAATCACGTATTTTTAACCCTTTCTTCGCTTTTAATTTAATTTACTAAATCAAATATCACATAGCTTTTAAGGAAACAATATTAATTGAAGTTAGTAAATCCTCCTTAAGCCATGTACAGAAAATAACACAGCTAAAAATTGGTTGAGCAAAAGTGAAATTATGAAACGCTAGAGAATGAAGTGAAGATGATACTTAAAAGCTAAAACTATAAGTTTGTTGAACTGTGTACTCTGATCAAGGTTGATAATAAGATTAAACGTTCAACAAACTTTATAAACATTCAGATATGAACTCTAAGATTTCATCCTTGACAGTCATTTCAAGACACAGAAAAAAAAATATTGTACGATAAAAAGCTGTGAAAAATTACACCACAAAAGGGTCGACAGCTAACAAATCTACCGAAGCGGTTGAATTGTTTAAAATGTGAGTCAAAACCGCCGTGAAGCACTCTCAAGCATCGTTACCGTAGTACTTTAAATTAACTTTTCCGTGTTTGTAAAAAAATTACAAAAATGTAAACTACCGTAATTTAAAATAAAAACGAAAGTTTGTGCTATAAAAACCTATTAGTGCTAGTCTGTACAAAAAGAGGCGACGCTAGTGCAGCAGTGTTTCACGTAGATTCTCCACTGGTTGACTCTGGTTGACAGAGGGGGGCTCGAGGGGGGTCGTCACATGGAGAACTGGCTGCTGACAGTGTGGGGGGCTTCTCCTCAAACACTGTAACCAGAAAAGCTCATGATGTGTATGCGGAATTAAAGAACTTGGATTGTGTAGAAAGAGAAACTTTGTAATGTAAGGGCGTCAAAGATTTTACTGTTAGTATTAACAGGTTTCCTACATTCAGCTGTTTACTCCGGTAAGTTTTTTTTCACGTCCAAGAATGCTAGTCTCAAACCTGGAACTATTTTTACACCTTACTTTAAGTTCAGCCTATAGGGTCAGTGCATTATAACATGTATAGTCAATTGGTGATTGGGGGTTTGAGCCCAGGTTCTAAAGAACCAAAGTTCTGCTCTAGACCAGCTCGCTCCCAATATTACTGGTGAAACTCACGTTTGTCCAGACTGATGATGGAGCCGGAGGTGACCAGATCCCCGACGGCCGCAGTTGGTTGGTCTTCCAAGTGTTTGTGTCTTCTGATCAGCCACCAATCCACCAGGAACAGCGACAACGCTAGGATCTTGATACCACAGCAGAGTCCCACATACCTGTAATGAGACTACAGTCTTACAAACTCATTACAATACCACTGATATGTACACAACAGTCACTGATATGTACATACAAGCATACATGTACATTTCTTAAGGTAAGCCTGCTTATCCTATTCTTTCTCTCCCCTATTTTCAGGCAATAAGCCCTTTCTCTTCAAACCTATCTCGTAAATATATTATACTTGATTTAACCTGGTTCTGAACACCTAATATAGTATTTCTGTACAAAAAAAGTAAAGGAATTAGGAATGCATGTTCTGACCTGTAACGGAACTGCTCAATGTCGTACAGCAGACAACGCCCAGCCTTCTCTCCACAGGTAGACTTCCAGAACAGACAAGTGGAGTCTATGAGGTTGCCAAACAATATAGGAGCAGGGATATAACCAAACAGACGGAAGATCACAAACTGCATTCCTAGGGCAAACGATCTCTCCTCCTCATTGACTGACCTGTAAGCATTAAATGAATTAGAAAAATTAAGTTGACAAGCAATAAGGCAAACTAAAGCACTGAATCACTCTATTCCATGGCTATTTCTGCCCAAGTTGAGATTTGGCCGCAACAACAACTGCTGTCCATCTCTCTATCTTGTCTTTTCCACTGCTGCCCCCACTTCTACAGTGTCCTTCCTTAGTGACACTATCCCACATCTTTTCTTGGGCATTCCTATGGCCGTTTCCCTTCTGCCTTTCCTACAATTGCTTCTTCTGAAATGACCAAAGCACTTAACACTGTTAACTTCATTTGGTTGCTCTAAGTGAGTAAGCTAGCAGGACATCTAAAGCCTTGAAAGTTTAGCTAAAAGAGAATAAATTCTTTCAAGAAAATGTTTAGAAACAAGATATTTTTAAACATCAAAACAGCTGTATGTGGTATTCACTCCACCACAGGGCCAATCATTCATTGATCAGCCCCTTCCTTTCTTACACAAGACTTTTTACCCTTCATTGCACTTTTAGGAATAAAAAAAAAGTTTCAAGATCAATAATTTGGTTGAGAGTGCAAGATCAACACATATTGCCTACAAATTTATTTATTAATTTACCTTTTGGATCCCTTACCTCAGTACTATCATGAGAAGAGGCATTTGCGTTACAGCGACCACAAACGTCATAAAGAACAACAACATGAGAAATGGGAAGATAGTGCGACAGGAGGAATTACAAGGTCCTGCAGTAGCTACAGGCACAACTGTCACCTCTCCCAGCTCTGAGGAGAACGGAGCAGTAACTGAGCTCAGGTTACCATGGATACCTGTAACACAACAACAGTATGAGAAATGGGAAGATAGTGCAACAGGAAGAGTTGCAAGGCCCTGCAGTAGCTACAGGCACAACTGTCACCTCTCGCAGCTCTGAGGAGAACGGAGCATTAACTGAGCTCAGGTTACCATGGATTGGATACCTGCAATGCAATACATCAACAATATGAGAAATGGGAAGATAGTGCAACAGGAGGAATAATAGCCATAAAATCAATGTTAATTTCGTTAATTTCAAACAGCGGCTGAAGAGTTATTTACAATCTCATAATGTTTTTTAAAATACCAAAGTGATTGTAATTCAAATATCTAGGGCACTGAGGAATTAGAAATTTTGTCATAGTTTTAAATTGTTTTATGAGTTAGAACGTCTAGGCTCCAAGGACTCTTAAACTTCCAGTCAGATCAGGTCTGAAATGACGACTTTGGTAAGTACTACAATCAGTTTGAGTTTGTACAATATTATTGAACACATTGTCTTTCACTATCGTATCTGAGGGCGAAATAGTTTTTTCTTACCATGGATAAATTGTGATCGTCCCCTGCAGTCGTGGAGGAATTGCGAACGACTCCTGCGGTTTTAATGAAATGTTTTTAGTTACAGTGAAATCAAGAACAGGTTGTCTAGTTTATTTCCATTATAAAATTCAAGACTAATTCCAGACTTTTCAAGACTAATTCCAGATTTTCCAAGACTAGTTTTTTCAACAATTAGTGGTTGTTGATACCAAAATGCATCGATTCTCGATTCTTGATACCGATACCAATTTTTATTGCTTAACAAAATTTTCTGAATAATACTACACCAACCACTGTCTTTGTCATAAAGTAGTATTATGATAATGTGGTGTTTTAAGGTAAAGAAATAATGCAGCAATAAAAAATTCTAACTAGCAAATATGTTTTTTTTTTATCATGAAATCTTCCGCGTACCGTACGTTTAGTCATGCGGTTACAGAAACGTGATCGTCATCGTCCGCTATCACGGCAAAATCATGAACATTTCCCGCGGCCTTGTAGCCATCAATGACATTATCGTCGTCTTCCGCGGTCTCAGAAACGTCATCGTCATCGTCCGCGATCGCGGCAAAATCATGAACATTTCCCGCGGCTGTTTGGACATCACCGTCATCTCCCGCGGTCACGGAAACGTTATCGTTGACGTCCGCAATCACGGCAAAATCATGAACATTTCCCGCGGCCGTGTAGACATCATCGTCGTCTCCAGCGGTCACGGAAACGTCATCGTCATCTCCCGCGATCGCGACAAAGTCATGAACATTTCCCGCGGCCGAGCAGATATCATCGTCGTCTCCCGCGGTCACGTAAACGTCATCGTCATCTCCCGCGGTCACGGAAACGTTATCGTTGATGTCCGCAATCACGGCAAAATCATGAACATTTCCCGCGGCCGTGTAGACATCATCGTCGTCTCCCGCGGTCACGGAAACGTCATCGTCATCTCCCGCGGTCACGGAAATGTCATCGTCGTCGTCCACGATCGCGACAAAATCATGAACATTTCCCGCGGCTGAGCAAATATCATCGTCGTCTCCCGCGGTCACGGAAACGTCTTCGTCGTCTCCCGCGGTCACGGAAACGTCATCGTCGTCTCCCGCGGTCACGGAAATGTCATCGTCGTCTTCCGCGGTCACGGAAAAGTCATCGTCGTCTCCCGCGGTCACGGAAACGTCATCGTCATTTTCCGCGGTCACGGAGACGTCATCGTACTCTCCCGCGATCGCGACAAAGTCATGAACATTTCCCGCGGCCGAGCAGATATCATCGTCGTCTCCCGCGGTCACGGAAACGTCATCGTCGTCGTCCGCGATCGCGGCAAAATCGTGAAAATTTCCCGCGGCTGTTTAGACATCACCGTCATCTCCCGCGGTCAAGGAAACGTTATCGTCGTCGTCCGCGATCGCGGCAAAATCGTGAACATTTCCCGCGGCTGTTTAGACATCACCGTCATCTCCCGCGGTCACGGAAACGTTATCGTCGTCGTCCGCGATCACGGCAAAATCATGAACATTTCCCGCGGCCGTGTAGACATCATCGTCGTATCCCGCGGTCACGGAAACGTCATCGTCATCTACCGCGGTCACGGAAACGTTATCGTCGTCGTTCGCGATCACGGCAAAATCATGAACATTTCCCGCGGCCGTGTAGACATCATCGTCGTCTCCCGCGGTCACGGAAACGTCATCGTCGTCGTCTACTATCGCGGCAAAATCGTGAACATTTCCCGATGCCGTGTAGACATCATCATCACTGGCTTTCGCGGTTACGTAAACGCAAGACGACGATCGCGGCAAAATTATGAAAATTCCCGACTTTGAAATCAAATTCAAGACTAAATCCCGACTTTTCAAGACCATTTTGAAATTCAATACTAATTCCCGACTTTCCCGATTTTCCCGACTACTAGACACCCTGCAAGAAAGACTCTTGCAGTCAAATCATAATAGTGAAAAGTTCATGAGACCAAATCGTCAGCCGAAAATCAAGAATCTTGGACACGTACGATATGAATTATCTGACTTATGCTTTCGCATAAAATTATCTGGCCGGAACCGATCTCTCTGGCTAACTGTTAAGTAGAAACAGACTCTGTCCACAGACCCTTAAGTAGAGCCCAGAACCCCTCGTATCAAAATGTGTGTGAAAGCATTTAATCGTTAGAACAGGGCACTCTGGTCAATGGAAAAAAAACAAACCTCAGCTCCAAAGTCTAACACAAATGTAGAGTAGTAAGATTGAGGTACATACAGGCACAGTTGGTGTAGTTGGAGCGAGAGCTGAGCTCCGTACAGCCGGCGTGACACGGACTGAAATATGTGAGGCCGTTGTTGCCACACACAGGCTCTACGTCCGTAGTATGACATTCACAGCCAAAGTTACAGGCCGCAGTGAGGTTCACTTGGAATGGCTCGGCTCTGGAGCTGTATCAACACAAGCTATTAGCAACAGCCACTGTAGCAAAATAAAAAACTATAAATAAATAAAATAATGATAAGTTAAAGACAATTTTAACTCAAAATGAGCGACAAGCAGTATACAAATGGCGACCATAAGATAGTAGGCATTTTAAGCCAAGTATGAATGGAGATGAGTGGCACGATCTTGTATTCTTGTTAGTGACTAAGGCAGACATATTCCTTGGATACAGCTGATAATTAATAGCCCATACAGCCAATGGCAAAATATTAAGTAGCACATTTTACACCTAGCAGGTCCAGGTATAACTTAAACTCCATGAATAGTGGGACTTATTCTTAATTGAATAACTTCTAATCAAGTTCTTTACAAATGTTTCTTGTACTTTAGCAAATTTTGATAAACAGTAGTAGGTCTAAACTTATTTCTTTGCGCTTTTTAATTGGCAAACCAAGAATTTGTTATGCCTCTGATAGAAAATTAAAACTAAAACAAACGAAAATTAATAAATGGTCCCAGGAAGTCGATACCACTGCAGCATAAAGATCACATTTATTTTTCCTGTACCCTGTGGGGGGGACACAAACATTGTTTGATAGGAAGAGAGAACAAACAAACGTTGAAGAGGAAAGATTTTAAGTTATATGTTTCTGTTATTATACTCTTAGGTTGAGTACTTTGAACTTTCATCAGTGATATTATTGTACCCTAACCATCTTCCAAAGTGTGCTCCAAGACTAAGTCCCTCCTCCTAAATAACACAACAATGATTTTAACTGTGACTTGATTACAAAAATATAACTTTTTTTAAAAAAAGGGACTCTTTTTTACCTGTTGTAGTAAGGGATCGTTGTGCCGGCCATTTTGACATTGTCACAACCCAGGAAGAAGAGAAGTCCGTAGCAAGACAGACAGATTGTGTTAGAGATGAGAACAAACTGCACAGCGCCCTTGGGCTTCAGCTCAAACCTCTTCAATAAACAGCCTCCCATGAAGATGCCTATACAGGCACCTGGTATGGCGATTGAACCTGGGAATGTGTCAATTATTAGCTATGTAAAAAGTTTGTAAGGTAAGAGAAATCACAGAGGAAGTCTTGATATAGGTATAATCTTCTCTTTAAGTGTATAATGGACAATGGCACAGTTATGTAGGCCTAGTTATCATTGTTATCAACTACCACAATCGATCCTTTTCATGATCAAACTAGCAGCCTTTGCACATAAAGACTAATGCTTTTAACTATCCAGCTCATTTTAGGGGTTTGTGGCCCAGACTATTTTTTTAAGTCAGGTGGGGACAGGTACAAGAAGTTTTTATTTTTGCCCCTCAGCCCGAATTCAGGTTGGGCCAGAGTTTGGAGAATATTGATTTTTTTAAATATTAATTTTAAATACTAGCCTAAAATCTGTTCATCTGATACAAGTACACTATCTACTGCAATAAAAGTGAAACAGAGAAAAGCTACTGAGATTATGACAAAATCATAACCTCTACCACATCACGGTGATATCATGAACGTCTTCCTAGGTTATGATTAAATTGTTTACATCTTCTGCGGTCGAGGAGTCTCCCATGATCTCCCGTGAGCCAAATGTTGACACAACCTAGCCTGAAAATATTGGGGACCATCAAATCCTGAGTAGTAACTATCTCAATCAATCGAACTAGCAACCTCTAGATTTGAAGCCTGGCTTGCTTGCTTACAACCTAACTACTCGACCAAATTATTTAGTTTCACTCCAAAATGAAATAAAAACAACTAAGGTAAGAATTTCTTTTCTTTTATTAAATTCTGTAGCGAAATGAAAATGTTTGTTTAAATACAACTTACTGTAAAACTGTGATTACCTGTGAAGACGCTTGCCTGGCTCTTCCCCAAGCTGAATTGAGTCTCCAGATACTTGGGCAGAAACACCACAAACCCAGACACAATGACCAGCTCCATACAGGCTCCCAGACAGGTGACCACGTACACTGGGTTACACAGCAGTCTCCACATGGACATTGGGATATCTGCAACACGGGTTAGTAGTTAACTGAGTCTCCAGGTACTTGGGCAGAAACACCACAAACCCTGACACAATGACCAGCTCCATACAGGCTCCCAGACAGGTGACCACGTACACTGGGTTACACAGCAGTCTCCACATGGACATTGGGATATCTGCAACACGGGTTAGTAGTTAACTGAGTCTCCAGGTACTTGGGCAGAAACACCACAAACCCTGACACAATGACCAGCTCCATACAGGCTCGCAGACAGGTGACCACGTACACTGGGTTACACAGCAGTCTCCACATGGACATTGGGATATCTGCAACACAGGTTAGTAGTTAACTGAGTCTCCAGGTACTTGGGCAGAAACACCACAAACCCTGACACAATGACCAGCTCCATACAGGCTCCCAGACAGGTGACCACGTACACTGGGTTACACAGCAGTCTCCACATGGACATTGGGATGTCTGCAACACGGGTCAGTAGTTAACTGCATTGTACTTTCACTTGGCTCATTTACTCCCCACCTGATATTTATGTCCCACCTTCACAACCTAGGACACTAGGCTCCTTCCCGGAAATATTTTACATATTACTTCAGACTAGACTAGAAGGTTGCGGTGTTCACTTACATAAAATCTATCGGTGATTGGCAGGACTAGAACATAAGACATCAGGGACCGAAGCAACACATCCTACCACTAGACCAGTCTACTCCCCCTATCTACCATGACTAATCACTATGACTAGTCTAATAAGACTAATCATAAGATTATAGGATCACAAGATGATCATGGGGATAGGAATCTAGCTATAATAGTAGTGGAAGAAGTCAAGAACACAGTGCCGATCTCAGATTTGAAACTTGGCCACGACAAAAGCTCGTTTGAGACACAGATTAAGAAAAGCCTCATATAATAACTACATGTACTTTAGAAAGATGCTTTGTCAAACGAGCTCATTTAAAAGCCTGTATTAACTGCTCTTCATTGAGCTGAAAAAATTAGGTGCAACTAAAATCCACTGTCAACAACGTATTCTCTTAGGCTCAAAATTAGAATGTAGGCAAAATGACCCTGAGAGTGTTCCGATGGCTAACAATTAGCGTCATCATCTATAAATTGGCCATTTTAAGGTATGATGTTCTTACCTTTGACATCCTTGCCGTAGCCAGAGTCGCTGCGGTTGCCGGGCTGTTGAGGTGTGGACGTCTCAGGGGGTCGGCCCGTCAGACCGGAGTTTGTTGACTTCTCCATTAACCTGATCTTCTCCTTCTCTCTCTGAAAAAATCAAATAGCTATCAACTTGGATTTATTAAAAGGTAAGCTAGCTGCTATCCCCTTTTCCAAAAATCACAATTCTAACCTAGAGCCGTTCCTTAAAAGAAAATTGAATATCAGTGAAGTAGTTGATTTAACAAACAATAACAGCAATGTAAAACACTGTTTCATATAAAAAATATTAATTGTAATCCTTTAAATAATGTTTCACAATTTCCAGATCATTCTAGAAAGCAACTTAAGGCATGATCTAAGGATTTCTTTATAGAAACAAAGTTCAGCTAGTTCATGTAAGAGAGAGTCACATGGCTTACAACTACCCAAAACAGCCACACAACCTAACACAACTGGCATGCTGATCTAGAGAATATAATGTATCAAGATGCTTAAAATTGCTTGCTAAATGTTTGCCAACACCGTGAGCCTAAATTCCAAAATGCTGTGCTTTCGACCGCACAAGTTCCTAGAATCACGTTGATTCTACTTTCGCTTGTAGAAGATTATTACTTTAAGATAAGAACTATTACTTAAACTAAAGGAAACAACCCTCCTTAAACTTAAGGATTATTACTTTAATGTAAGAGGAAATAAAATTTATTTATATCATGAATAGTAAGAAACTAATTTTAACTGTACGTTTTAAACAAATTTGAAATAAGAAAGTATTCTAAAGCTTACCGTGAGAACTTTAGGGAAGGAGAAAAATGGAATGGCTACGATGATAAGCAGCAAACCACAGACGAGGAATCCTCCCCACCACATGCCGACCCAGTGGCGATCACCAGGACCTGAAACATTTAGCTCATTTACTTGTTTTGTTTTAAAAATAGACTATAAATTGGTGAACAATACCTGCATTTAAAATCAAAGCGTTGCAGTTAAATATCGCATAAATGTAGGTATTTTATACCAATTTATAGTACTTAAATGCGATCAGGAGGCTAAAAATCAATATAAAAAAATTAATGATGGGATGAGTTTTAGTGGGAAAATTAGAATGGAATGGTCTTAAAATTAAAATTCAATTTAAATTTTACATGTAGTACTTACTATACAAAGAAGAAATTTGTTACTGGTGTAATACATGAAATATGAGGACTGTCTTGAGGGAAAAAAATCAATTACGCTATAACTTTCATTCTCCTTATATCTGTTAAATTTGCACCTACAATAAACAAAACTAAATATTTGAAGCCAATTTTATATACTTTAACAAGATACAGAACTTATCTGTAAAACTTCTAGATATACTTTATAACCATCTTTTTGGGAAATTGCCCAGTCCCTGTCCATTAAAACCAAACTTTATTAAATTTGAACATACTTGAAACGTACAACAAAGGGGAAACATACTTAAAAACTAATTTTTCTCACTAGGATTTACCGATTCTTATTTCGGCAAAAGTTTAGAATATTTAACTTAAGCTCCAGGTGGAAAACAAGTCAAGATAAGTTTCAACAACCGTACAAGTAGGAAATTAAAACAAATTTTACTATTATTTTCAAATCAAACGAGAAGAATTTTTTTTTTCATTACAAAAATGTGGTTTAACTGTACAATTCCAACATGCTCAAGTACAACTGGCTTGATATTTTAGGAATTCATGTAACAAAAATGTTTATGTTACCTATATCGATAGCTATGTTCCCTAAGGCATCCATGTGGAAGGACAGCAGATAGGCTCCCAGAAGGAACCCCAGCACTGGTCCAAATGCAGCCATGCTGTACATACAACCTGAAACAACCAAGCTAAACTTGTAACTCACTTAGTTATACAGTTATACTAAATACAATATCAGTGGATAAACCTTACACTGAAGTAACTGGTTTACACATTTAGCAATAGGAAATCAGTTTAATAGATGAGTATCACGATTATTCTAAAAGCTATTGGAAAGTCATGCGCTATCCAAGTGTCTTAGGAACTTTTAGAATGTCAGGGTGGGCTAAAAATTCACACTTTTTCCCAGATTTCCTAGCAGCAACCGTGGTTTTACTGGTTGTGAATCAAGATCGCCAAGTGTAGCCTACTTTTTACTAAATATGTATAGCAGGGAAATTAATTTTGTTTTATCACTCATAACTTATTTCATGAAGTTCCACTTGCTTCCATCTTGCCATATCAAACTTCCAGAACGTAAGTGAGGAATTCTGATTTTGACATAATAATTCTTTATTTTGTTTTTTTTTGTTTTTAGCGAATTTCCCTATAGGGAAGTAGCTATTACCGTAGGTCTCATGGTAAGACCTAAGCCCGGGACCGATATACTTTTTCATTTTGATGTCCCCAGAGGCCAAAAACACCATTCGTTCAAATTTTTATATATCTATATATAGAGATATATATATATATATATATATATATATATATGTGTGTGTCCATCCGCACGATAACTTGAGTAATTTTTGTCCGATTTTGATAAAATTTGGTTTGAAGGTGTAAGGCGGGATAAACTTGAACGAGTTCGCGAACCAGCATGATCGGACTATGGGAACGGGGGTTTATGGGGGGTTTTATGGGGGGTTTTATGGGGTAAAAATAGGTTTTTCCCATTTTTGACCCTAAAAACACAAAATTTCACAATTTATTTTTAAACCATTTTGTAGAGCTTAAAAAAACAAATAATTTAGTATATTGAAGCGTTATTATGCGCCTAATTGTTAGGGAGAAAATTCAAAGAAATTGTAATTTTAAAATTCCCATGTTATTCTTATGGAGAATAAGTCAACTGTTGTAGTTTGCTTGTTATGAACATATTTTGATCGATTTTGGAAAATACTTTTATTTCTTACTAAACTATTATCATTTTATAAAAAAAATCTTTTTTACTCTCCCTGTTGCAGCAAACCTAAGTACTCGTTAAACTAATTCTATTTAAATGGGAAATAAATGTGCTATTTTTTTATGGAGGCATTTTAGTGTAAATCCAATCAGGTTAATGGAAATTCGCTTAGTCTGCAGGTTTGCTGCGGCGGGGGTATTTTTTATTTTTTTATTATTATTATTTAAAGAAGAATAAAGTACTAAGCTAAAAAATATGTTTTGATAGAATATTTTTTTCAATTGGACAACAAAATTGATGCCATATACATTAAGACCTACTTTAATGGACAAGCTATAAAATAATAACCTATATAGATGGAAGAGTTGTCTGCCTTGACATGGTCGTCTATGTAGGTAGTGCCAAGTGTAAAGAGAGGCGAACCCCCGCAACCAAGGAGTAGCTGAGCAAGGACAAATAGCATGACGGGGCCTCGGTTGCTAGGCATGCCTTCTATACAGTTCTCCCTTAGGTTGTTGTGTGGCCCTAGAGGAGGTGATGACAGTCCTACAACAGAACATCGGTATACAGAAATAGCAAATAATTGTACACTAATTAATAGAGCAATTTTTTATGTTTACCAGATTGTTCCCATAGTTATCTTACAAGTACAATAAACACATTTGGACAAGTGACGTACAATATTTTTTGCCATACCACTCTAAACTAACAAAACGATAAAAAAAATCTGTACAAATCCACCCACCCATATATTTCCACCAACTAAAGGACTTAATAATCACTACTCATACTAAAAGAGGTTACGTTTTCATTTGTAACCACTGATTGCCAATTATAATCAGCTGGTGTCCGGTAAAAATGCATTACAGTACAGTACATATATATACGTATATAGTACGTCATGAAATCCTGTTTCATTAAGCAGGCAACAAACGGCTGTTTTCCGGACTAAATCCTTTTGTGGAAAGTCAGAAAATTGCAAATACCTAATATTGGCTAACAGTACAAGATACAGTGGAACCTTGACATGTTAAAGAATCTGTTCAGTCTTGGGTGAATACTTTCAAAACAACAGATTCACTTTCAAGCCTCTTGCCTTAATATTATTGAAACACAATTTAGTCAGTAGTCACAGAATAACATATGGTAGGATCACAAGTTTTAGGAGAATCATATAATATTTGATATATCGAGGATTTTTATTTATAAGGTGTGATTTATCAAGGCTCCACTGTTCAATCAAAGAACAAAATAAGAACGCCCAAGTCCTGGTGTATTTTCAAAACAATTCCTTTACCTGAGGAGAGCCGACCAAAGTCCATCTCCTGTTCCCGGACAGGGACTACCCTGCAGATATTGTCTGAAGTGGAGTTGGGGTGTGTGGAAGTGTGAAGTGGCTCGGCTGTGAAGTGTGGCAGCATGAAGATCAAGGATCCGATCCCCATGATGACTGCACCTAATAGACAAAATGTAAATTAGTCTACGATTACAATCGATTTCAGGTGTTGGTAAATATTTGAATCTTGTGATAAGACAAAAGCCTTACAGTTCAAAGTCATCCAGCACAAACCTTATATAGGCTTAATTGACCAATCTCAAAATTATAACTTTCTACTTCATATGCTCTAGACTTTTCAACCCTACTAATCAGTTTTGAGAACAATCTAAAGACAACTAAGGAGTTCTAAAGATATTAATTAAGTTAGTTATACACTGCTTGAAGGTAGATCTTTATAAATCACTACCATGATCAATCTTATGCATATAAAGCTAACTTTGAGATAAATCCCGTTCGCAACTGGGTTGGATATCAAAAGTAAATCTTCCTCTACCCAAGATGAGGTGTCGTATATTATTTCAAAGATTTGTTTTGGATATATAGATGTTTTTAGAATAATCACTCACCAATGCCTATCCAGACGGGAATGTGCCTGCGACTGCCGAGATAACTGACAAAGATGACGGTGATCACGTTGCCGATCTCGTACGAAGACGCGATCAGACCTGATAGACTTGAAGGAATCTCAAACCTGTACAATTATTATGCTATCAATATTCTATAATGTATGTAATGGAAAATACTACACTCAGCCATTATCTTGGCGATCAATAACTAACACAGATATGAAAAAACATGTTTATATTCAAGGGATTAAATACATTTTTCCATTACATTGACATAGCCTATTTCTTCATCGTACAAAAAAAAAACAGTATATCTAAACATCCTGTGGAAAACATAACCTGCAACAAAAGTCATCTTGATATGAAAATATATTAGTGAACTCATACATAAATCATAAATTTCTACGTGGTTCTCAGTTGCAATAAAAATGCGATGATAAAATAAGCGTGTGAATGCAACCAATGGTTCCTAAGCTGAATGGTTTTAGCACATTAAAATCTTAGGTGCTTAATTCGATGTTATTTTCATAATTAAATCTTCTTTTTATAAGAAAGCTACTATCATCATGGTAAGAGCTAGGCCTGAGACCTGTCTACATTGAAGATGTTGACTATCAAATAAAACTGAGAGTAATAATATCGTCACAGTATCTAACCCATCTTCACATGATAAAGACCAAGTGTGCTAATAATTTTTATGTTATCATTTTTATAATTTTTGCACTTATGAAAAATTTTTAAAAAAAATAACATTACCTTTTCTCTATGGTGGTGATGACAGAGTTGATATAGCCAGAGCTCAACGCTTGCTGTAGAGTTACGAGAAACGACAGGAAAAATACAAAAACCTGCAAAAAATGAAACATTTTTCTTATATACCATTTTGTGTGGAAATACATCTCAACAACCTCTTTACCTTTTGAAATATCTGTTTCATGCTAATAAACTTGCACACACAAAATAGATTACAAGATATACACAAGGAAAGTATTAAACACATCATCAGGTTAATATATTAAAAACTTATTTTGGAGGATGAAATACATTTATAAAATAGAAGGTGCGTAAAATATTGCTAGATTCCATTACTAAAACGAAAACCCAAATACTGTACTTCAAGTTTTCATCACTGACAACAGAACAGTTCATGTTGCATGATAGCCAATCATTTGGCTCGGTTGATCCTATTCTATTCCTGCACTAGAGAAGGCTATAGATCAACATATTTGCTTCTAGAAAATAAAATTGTAAATCAAATATCAACTACAAAATATATACGGAAAATTGTTATATTAAGTTTGGGTTTTAATGTTCACTTTTAAAGCAAATAACATTTATTTAAGGTGGGTAGCCTCTGGCTGGCTTACCAAGATATACTATACAGTATGTTGTTTAAATACTTTTATTATTTTGAATCCATAGTAAATAACAATGCCAGAGTATTGTTGCAGGGAAGTGTAAATTTCCAAATTTTCCTTAGATTTGAAGTTAATATTTTTAGGTACTCCTAGAACTTTCTCTTTAAAACAGTGAAACAGAAGACTCCCCTACAAGTTTCAATTCATTTAGTTCAAGCTATTACAGGTTTGAATGGCCACCAGCATATTACTCAAACACTCACACACTCACTGCTTAATCCGTACCTTGTAATGAACAAACAAGTCACAATACATTTGTATAGTGCTTTTCAGTATATAAATAGTTATTTGTGTAACTAGTGAGCAAAGTGGCACTTTGCTGCACACGAGAGCAACGTTTACGAACGAGCCGCAGGCGAGTGCGGTATGATCTCGAGTGCAGCAAAGGTCTTTTGCAATCGTGTTACACATTATATTTTCCTACAGTCACTATAAAGCATATAAATAATTAGTCTTTCAAACACTATACAACACTTTTTTAGATTCAGCTGGCAACACAAATCGGTGCCCTAGAGAAAGTAGTCCCCGGTCCGTATCACTTTGCTATTTTTTCCTCGTCAAGCAATGTGCTCCTTGACTTGAGAAAATAGTTCCGTATATTTTAGTAATTTGCAGTGGTTTCCGCGCCTTAAAAAATGCTTTAAAGGTATTTTCTTGTTTATTAGGATCGTAGTAATGTTTTAAAAACGTTTAAAAGTAAAGTCCAGAATGTTCAGAAATACCGAAAAGAGAACATAAACTATAAACACGAAATGACAGGTTAAATCGTAGTTATAATAGTCAATCAGCTGCTCATAGTATTATTATCTATAAGTGTTGCCAACCTATTTCCAAGCGTTCACGGATTACGTGCATAATAGAACCACGCTGTTTTGTGTTTTTTTGTTGGAATCCTGATGTGCGCCAAAGTATAAACTGTACGACAGAGTATAAATATGCAGCAATTAGCAGCTTTCTGTACTATAAACAGTACAAGGAAGCCAACTTTGTCGGGTGACTGTAGGAAAACATTGCTGTATTTCATGAATGTTTACTTTAATACTACAGTACACGTAATGTGTGGTTTTGAAAGGTAGCCTTTCATTGACATATTAACTCATAAATGAGTGAAATGCTTCTGATGGTTTAAACTTTATTTTTACAATGTCCCAAGAAGTCAATCAAGAGGGAGTCTAATGTAACAAAATAGCGAACAAAATATTAAAGTAAAGATGTATTAACTTAAACTTGACTAAATATTTTTTTAAGACTCACTTTAATACTAGCAAAGCCCTGTATGAGGAAGGGCCTACAGGCTAAGATGCCGCAGTCTTGTATGTCCTGAGGTAAGATGGCCGCCACTTCGGCAAACGAAGGGTGACTTTTCTCTTTCGCCTCTGTCCGTGCTCTCTCATTGCTAGAACATCAGCAAAATAATCAGTAACAAAAACTAAGTGAAAAATATAATTTAGTCTATATTATAACACAATCTGATTAAAGTCATCCAACTAAGTTGTTTAAAAAAATAGAGTATAAGATGGACTGAAACAATAACAAATTTGCTGTGGCATCTCACAATTCAAAAACAAATTGAAGTCCTTATTAAAAAAATAAAAGAAAATGTTCAGGACACATTTTGTAAAGGGGAGATGGAGAGAAAAAGATGCATTGCATTCGAGCCCTCTTGGACATACGGGAAGGACCCTGATTGAGAATTAAAGGTTCGGTTACACTAGACAGGAAAGGAAAAAGATAGGACACTGAAATAAAAGGATAAAGGAACAAAACGTAACAGACAATTTCTGGTGTTAGCACAATACACGAGACACGGAATGGAAACTGTTAGGAAAAATTTAATTTTGGGAGTATTTGCATCCAGACAGCTGAACAATTCCCGATTGAAAGTGCATTAAGTTCCAATGTGTGTATTTTCTGTTTTGTTTCTAGTAGTGCAGCCCAAACATCTACAAAGGAAATAACACAACACGAGGAGAAACAAAATGCTACAACAAGAAAATGTTGACTGTACGCCCTAAGAAGGATTCACCGCATTCTGCGAGTGCCGTTTTGTGGTGTTTTGTTCACTCTGTTGAGTCTTGTCTAAAATAGCAGCTTCGGTTCAATAACACATAAAGCATTTACTAGAAACTTGCTTGACTGTTTCCTTGTTGTATCCTATCCTGTGTAGTGTATTCCACGTTTAAAGAAGAAGAAAGGTAAGACCTGGTTTCGGATTAGACCGGAAGCTGTCATTGAATCAAGGGTAGTACAGTTGATGTTCCATGCCTCAGGAACAGTCAACAAGATTAGGTCAACTCTTTTTCTATCATAAAGGAAAATGTCTACGATTATATCTTACAGACGATGTTAAAGTAAAACCATCTAAAGTACATACTTGTCCACAAGTCCACTGGACGGGTTGCGACTGTGACACTTGATGACCGTGTCGTAGCACTGACTAGTCCCGGCGTCAGTGTCGGCCTCGGCGTCCGTGTCCGTCGTCTCTGAGTACAGCCCTGTCATGGTGTACATGCTCTCCTGGCGTCTGTGTCCGTGACACACTCCTCCTCCAGTGGCCACTCCACCACTGCTTACTGCCATGCTGGCTTATCTCCCTGTCAACACAAACAAACTGCTTGGTATTGAAGTTTATTATTTTAGCTGAGACCCCTGATGATGGTTGAAGTGCTATCAATTTGTGGACCTTCATTTGGGTTTCAAACTGCCATAGTGTAGTATTAATACATTGCAACATATCAAATTTAGACTGCAAACTGTTTTTTTTTTATATATATATTCCACACACAGCAAACCGTATATTACATATTGTATACAGAGTCCACAGAAGTTAGGGATCAGTATTTCTTTTATCACTGCAGATAGTGCAATTAAGCTTTATCCACAAGTGTTGTAACTGAAAATCTACCTTTTTTAAGCAAACATAATTATTTTTATCGCACTAGGGGCAGTTTACAAGTAGTGAGAAGTAAATCTTCATCGAGGAAATCAACAAATATTTCCAACCAGAGATAATGATAGGAGATGCAATATCCGGACATGGGTAATCAAGGGACTGTGTTGACCAACTCGGCTATACTATGTCTTATATTTTATATTTATTTATTGGTCCCTTATTTGTTAAGATTTGTAGTACTGAATTAGTATATATAAAAAAAATAAACAACTAATTAAAATATGGTCACTCATATTCTTCCTTTACACTTCTTTATGAAACCAAAAGTTAATATTACAAGTCAAACATTACTTGTTACTTGATTATATTTCAATAAAAAGTTGAAACTCCCTTCTTAAAGACAATTTTGTAAACCACCCACAGCCATATTGAGGGATGATAAGCAGTCAAAATAGTTGTTAATCCTGAATAATAATATCGATCAATGAAGCTGACATTAATGGGAGGTGATTGATCGGGCCAGATTTGCCTAAGCTGATGGACTCTTGTGATTAGTGTTGTCCAACTTTGTATGGCTTCAGTCTCCTATCAAATGGTTCACAAAATTGCTCAATACTGTATGGAACTCTTCATGATTGTGTGTTGTAGAGTTGGTTTACATATCAAAAATATTATTAGATTAGTAGTACATAAAATATTCATATTGGTTTAGTTTTTTTACTCTTTTTACAGGTTGTGTTTTTTTAATTGTAGACTGGCTGCCTTTTTGTGTTTATTTATTTAAATGCTACAATACAGACTTATGTCCAATTTTTCCAACTTAATTGCAATTTTTGTTTTTAAAAGACTAAGACAAAATTTTTACCTGCTCTGTTGTGTTTTGTTTTGTTTAATAGAATGAAGACGTTGACTATGATAAGTAACTGTGATCCATTTTTATCATTACTGTACAGTATAAGTAACTAACTTTATCCTTTACCAAAACTAAATAAAATGATGATTTAATAAATAATGTTAGATATATGTATTTTAAAATATTAGCCATCCATTTACTGCACTAATGAAAAACCGTAATTATCAACACTCCTGTAAAACGTTGCTTAAACATAAATAGCTTATTCCCTATATGGGAAATTCGCTAAAACAGAATGTAGAAAATTTATATGTGACTGTAGAGAGTTTTTATAACTCTGTTCATTAAAATCAGTTCTATAATTGGTTCTGACAAAAAATCCCCTATATTAGAGACATAAAATCAACTACACAACTATTTTTGTATCCTTATATATAATACGTGAAGGCGATTTCTACGAAACACTTCTCCTTCGTTAATAATTTTAATATTTTTTGTGTAGACGCCCCCTTTCAAAATTTCCTGTAATAAAAGTCATTGGGCTTTCCCCCACAGGCCATTAAAATCCCAACATATTTCTTATGAAGAAAAGATTTTGTTTACTTAAACAGACGAATAATTTGTATTAATTACAGCAACGAATACTACATTTATGTTTATGATCCATACCGGTATTTTTCTAGTATTCGTGATTATAGCTGTTCATAGTAAACACATAATACACACAAGAGTGTCCGTTTTCAGAGTAAGTTCGTTTTTAGTTTTGATAGATGGAGTGGAGTGAGCTTTCGTTTCCAGAGTGAGTTCGTTTCCAGTTTCGATAACTGGAGTGGAGGGATTGATTACATTATCTTTGAGTTGACTCTTTTAAGTCAACGGAAATTGTGACTATTATTCGTTAAAAAAACGCCTTTAATATTTTGTAATTGCTCGAATTCGAGCAACAGGTGCACTAGTTATATATATTTCATGTGTATAAAATGTTATGGAGATTATTTACTTTTTCTGTAAAGCACCTATCCAACGTCAAACTTGTATCAGATAGAATTATTAATTGATAACTTAATGACAAACGGTATCTGGATCCAGAACCAATCTCGCTTGGAGTCGAACCAGCGACCTTCATACTTGAAGTCGAGCACCACTCGGCTGCCCATATTATATTTTATATTTTTACACCGTAGTCATCAAAGGATGAAATATATTCAAGAGTTTCACAGGTTTCCTTTGTAGTCTAATAAACCACAAAAAACTAATTAAACTTTTTCCCAACCCGCAATGACGCAAGGATAAGAATGTTAGCTAAGCTTTCACTAATTACTTTCGCAGCTCGCAAACCGTGGCGAAAAAACCAGAGCGGAAACCCGGCGGAGCGTCCTTGAGTGTGATAAGGGGCTGATAACAGAGGGTGGCATGAAGTGAACAGAAATCTGCGATAGATCACTAGATATTGTTTTAACTATGGATAAATAACTAGTCGATGCATTCTCATAAAGTGTTATCCAGCAAATAAATGTAATTAAATTGATCTACCGACAGAGGTCGTGCATTAGTTGCGCCCAAGAGTTCCTTAATTCCGTCCGCCAAGCCCTCAAAGGGTCCCAAAAAAAGATCCATAGTTGCGCCAAGCCCAATCCAGGTAGGGGTGAGCTGCCGCCAGATGGCATGTCCTTGTTTACGTGTCATTCTAACATATCCCGACCTAACTTAACCTAACCTAACCTACTCAATTATACAGTCAAAGAAGGCCGCCACTTGGTGGAGTCAATGAAACTATCGGGTGGCTCCCTACAGTAGTTGGCGCAGTTAAGGAATACCCGACTACCTGACTCAGATCAATTGGCGCGATTGATGCCCGCCCACCGACAGAGTAGGCTAATATGTACTGAATGCGCCAATTTGTTAACCGAGCGAAACTGAAAAGACTAAACCTACTTATTGTAAGCCATAGCGTATTTCCATCACATAAACTACCATAGTAACAAAAACGAAGTAACAAATCATGGAATTTTTAGACTGTCACACAATATATAAATAAGTTCATTCGCCTATGATCTTTTTGAACGAAAAATTCGGTAACTGTCCCATAAATATGGGGTATCTACTTCCAAAGTCAATGATATTAGGCAGGCGTAAGAAAGAGGCGAGTTTGGTGTTGCTGTATGCCTAATTCTAACAAGTTTATGAGCGAAGACCCAGCTGGAGTCGAAGAAAGCGAACATCAGCTGTAGCTTACATCTTCTGACTCAAAAGGTTAATTTAGCGGAAGAAAAAGTCCCGATTAAATCAAATGTTATTTTATCGATATCAAACTGTTTTTGTGGTAAATATCGTGGCACAGTGTGTGTCTCACTGAAATAACATCGACATTTACTCTTTATCGACACGATCATAAATGTGGCGAATTTAAATGTATAACGGTCTAGGCGGAGTAATACGCGTTACCTCGTGACAACGGTAAAAGCTGTTTGTATAAAATAGCAGAACAATACGTAAATAATTTGGGACTGATTTACAAGTGAATCATACACGAAATTAACGTTCTGTGATTCCGTTGGCTTAAATAATGGCGCAGTAGGCTATAACAAAAAATAATCTTTCATTTGACGGGCAGAAAGTATCTTTTGTACCCTCTTTTACTTTCCAACCTCGGTCGTGGCGACACTAATAATTTTAGTCATGAAACATACCACATAATTACAGTGATCTTTAATTGTATAGATTACTTAAAGAGACTTCTTCAACATTCATTTTCTAGATGATCACACACACAAGTTACCTGCGAGTTGGACACAGGTTACGGAACCTTCGATCACCCACTTGACCTCAAATCAATCAATTCCTAAGAGCCGAACCTTATACCTTATACCCAGCCAAGAGAAATTCTAACAAAATAAAGTTCTGACTATTATTGACTTCTTCATACTGAAGGTACATCCTATCTGCATGGACTAGTTGTAGTCATTTTTAAATATACCAAACAATGTTGAAGAAGCCACTAAACATGCGCTGCTGTTCAAGTTCAATAATTTTCTACTTAGGGTTTTTGGTAAAGTCATGATTGACGTATCATCAAAAATGCTGTGGTTTACAATAATTTTTACTTTTCGGCTTGGTTAAAAAAAGTCCGTGGGGAAAGAAAGAAATCAGTAATAGACACAAGCGCACTCTGTTGAATCCATCTGTTTTTCACTGTAAAACTCTTAAAAATTTTTACATAGTAATAGGTTTTTTCTAATCTCCATAGTGTAGGCTATTATCGTCGTATACACTGTTTTCAAGGTTGTTCACTTCTTATTTTTTTCAGTATCAACATGCCTTTCGAATTTTTAAATATATGAGCATGTTAAACCAAATACATATAAAATAAAAATCCATAGAAACACTAGATGAAAACGTAAGTGATTTTTTAGACTCATATCACAACAGCTGTGACTACCCAGTCAGCTGAGAATATATCAGCTGATTTATTGAGCATGGCGGCCTCCTTGTACTGTGATTATGCAGGTCAAACTAAATTACGATCACGATCTACATTTATACCATACATAATGTATTCGAATCTCATCCAAACTGGGTTTGATGGACGAGTTTTTATACTTTCAGCCTTGTATTTCATTAGGAAATAAAAAAGAGGTTTTCCATAAATCAACATAATAAATCATAATATAAGAGCAAGCGATCTAAGTAAGCATGTGAGAACATTATAACATAATAGCACGCTAATCAGCATATTGTTTGATATTTCTTACTTTATTTTCTTATAATCTTAAGTTTGTAGTGAATTAATTCACGTAATTTTTATTAATTAAAATTCTTAAAACTTTTTCTCGATTTTCAAGCGATTC